TTTCCTTTCTTTGTTTCTTTCCTTTCTTTCTTTCTTAAGCAAGAATGTAGATTGATAGGAATACATGTTGTTGCATAGATGATCTTTGAAAACATGGGGTCTCTGAGAAGGAGATCAAAAGGTCAGCCCTTGGAGCAAGGGAAAAGGTGGGTAGATTTTTCATCTATTGGGGAGGGTGGGCCTATATCCAGATCTGGAATTGGGTACATTCCAGCTTCTTAATTCCACCTTCCCAAAGGGTTAATTATACTCAACATATGCAGAGTATATTTGGATAAAGGGTGGGATAAAAAAGGTCTTGTCTCCACCTTGAGACATTCGACCTTGTTGAGAAGGCACCTGGATTTTGTCTGTGAACTATAATAGCTGGATCAACAAAGTGACTGAGACAAAACTCTTGGGTGAATCTCACAGAGGAGGAAGTATTTGAGCTGGGTGTTGGAAGAGGAGGGGCCCCTCAGGAGGGGAGAAATGCGAACACTCCAGGCAGAGGCAGGCCAAAGTGGGGAACTGCTGGCGTCTGGGGTACCAGTTGAGAACCACCAGAAGGGAGCACCCAGGCCCGGGGGTGCTAGGAGACAAGGTAGCAGAAGGGCTTAATCTGTATGACAGACTTTGCCCATTATCAACTCCATGAAGTAGGGCATCTTACGACCCTCATGCTGCAGAAGAAGAAACTGAGGCATGGTCTTTATGACTTCAGTGAAAAAGTGGGGTTTGAACCCAGGCATTCTGACTCCTAGTGCATCCTGGGAGGAAGGGGGTCGGGGGTGGATATGGACTTGAGAGGAAAAAGGGCCAGACCTGGGTGGCCAACTGACCGTGAGGTGGAGAAGGAAGATTCAAGATGATGAATATGGGACGCCTGGGTGCCTCAGTCAGTAAAGCATCTGCCTTCGGCTCAGGTCATGATCGCAGGGTCCTGGGATCAAGGCCCCACGTCGGGCTCCCTGCTCAGTGGGGAGTCTGCTTCTTTCTCTCCCTCTACCCCTCCCCCCTGCTCATGCTCTCTCTTGCTCTGGTGCTCTCTCTCAAATAAAATCTTTAAAAAAAAAAAAAAAAAAGATGAATATCTTACTCAGCATATGTGGCCACATTATGGCACTATCACATGAGCCCAGAGAGAGAGAAGCTGATGGGGGATTTGGACAGATTGAGTGTGGGGTTTTTGTAGGCTGTCCAGATGGAGGGGGTCCTGTCTGATGCTAGGTTTGGGTAAATAGGAGGAGGAAGAAGAGAAAGGGCTGGTCGTTTAGAGGGATTCCTAGGCTTCCAGCTTGGGGAGTCAGTGGGGTCCTGCATTCACACTGGGGCTGCAGGAAGTGGGCAGGACTCAAAGGTATGGAGCAGAGAGTGATAATGCAGAGAAAGGTCTATTAACAGGCATCCTTTCCTTTCTGCCTCTCCTCCATCCTTCTCTGCAAGAAGGAAGCTGGTCCTACGTAAGCCGATCACAGGTTGCCCACAAACCTCTCCTGTATCTGACCTTTCACTCCTTTGGTGCTTTTATTGAAACTTAGTTCACAGAGGGAAGAGATTCCGGGGGTCACTGCTGGCCCAAATCGACCTTGTGAGACTTAGAGAAAGGCATCCCTTAAGACACTTTACTGCCATCTGCTGGAAAAGAGTTGTAATAAATGTAGTAAAATCTACACTGATGCCCTGGGTGGCTGCACAGGAGTGGTGCTTTGTGGTATGTACAACCTACCCAACCTTACATGTCAGCCTTGAGTGCTCCTTTTTTCCTGGGGCAACAGGGCTTGAAAGCAACGGTCTTCTCTCCTTCTGTCCTCTCATAGCCAGATCCGATGCCGATTCTTCATGCAAGGGAATGGCCGCTGCCCCTTCAAGTCTGATTGTATTTATCTGCACCAGCAACCGGATAAAGCCCTGACCTCTGATCCTCCCTGGACTGAGAGTATGCAGCTGACTTCTGGGAGTGAGGTGGTAACAGCAGGGATATGGGACAGGGAGGCTGCTGGCCATGTTTACAGTAAATGTCTTCGATAAATGTAAAAGCCATACACATGATGGCCGTAATGATAATGGTGTCTACTCAGATGGGGCATCTTTGTGCTGTGTACCACCTGCCCGACCTTATGTGTCAGCCCTGATTCTCTTGTTCCTGGGGCAGTAGGGTTGAAGTTGATGGGTTTTCACTGATTTCTTTCTCTACTCCCAGGCGCTGGGCCCAGCAGGTTTCCTAGGGGGCACTGAGCAGGAAGACGAAGTGTTCTTCATGGACTGTGCCTTGGCCATGGCCTTCTGGGGTTCGGAACTCTTACTGGATCCCGATAATTCTTACCTCGGCCTTCTGTAACCAGAATCAACATATGGGGGATGGGGCTGAGGGGCAAGGGTTGCTAGGTGGTAGGTCTTTTCCCTTTTGGGGCTTGGTGGGGGCTGAAAGTAGCAAGCCCTCCACGCCCAAGGAGCACAGTGCTGACACAACTGGGGATCAAGGGAAGAGGAAGAGAAAGGGTTCACTCTCTTGCCAGGGACTTGGTTTTTAACTTTGTTCTTTTGTAGTATTCTGAAAGAAAACCAATAAAATGCATCTAAGCCATCATTGCTGGTATCTAAAGAATGTCTGTTCGTAGCCCAGATGCCCTCCCCCTGAATCACGGGTTGTTTCTGCAATCATTCTGTTGCAATGTCACCCGTCACGTGACCTCTGTGAAACTTCACTTTATGCTCCTAAGAGTATGAGAGTGGAAAGGGCAAATAACATCTTAGTATTAGGAAAATAGTAATGACATCATGGATCCCATGAAAGGGTCTCCATGGTCCCCCAGGGTTCTTGAACCACCCTTAGAACTTTCCTCCCTGCTCTCCTTCCCATTGGCTAGAATGCCCACCTTAGTGGGCATGAGCCAGAGCCACCATTGCAGAGTAAAGCTGAGAGTGGAGGACTGGCAAGGCACTGAAGGTTATTTAGCATTCCTGACCCTACCCACTACTTGTCAGGGCCTGTCTCTCCCCCCTCCCCCAACAGCTGGTCATTTGAAGACCAAAGACATCTTCTATGAAGTTAGAACAGTTAACCTGAGATAGAGGTGCTGGCAAAAAACTTCTTTCCTGCTATGTAAGCCTTTGCAAAGCAGTCACTATCTAAGAAATACTCCTTAGTCTTTACCAACACCTCCCATAAAGTTATTTTGGGAAAAAACATGGCTCCAGTGGAAATCAGATCCAGCTCAAAATATTCCTACGGCTTACCATACTGTTCAGGGGCGCCTGGCGGGCTCAGTCGGTAGAGCATGCAACTCTTGATCTCAGGGTCATGAGCTCGAGCCCCACATTGGGTGTAGAGATTCCTTAAAAACAAACAAGATATTCCTATGGCTTACCGTACTATTTAGAGTGAAAAACCAAAGGTCCTCTTTATGACCTCAAGGCCTCACAAGATCTAGCCCAGTTACCTCTCTGATCTCTTCTCTGATTACTCTCCAGCAAGTACATTCTGCTCCAGCCACACTATGTCTTGGGGACTTTGCATGTGCTGTCCCCTCTGCCTGAAATGGCCTCCCCACAGATCTCTATCTCACTTGCTTCCTTATCTTCTTCAGGTTCATCTTGCCTGACTACCTACTTAAAATTACCTCACCCTATCTCCCTTCCCTGCTATATTCTTCTTCTTGAAAGCACTAATCACAATCAAACATTCTATTGTTTACTTATTAGTTGTCTCTCCTCTCTAGAGTGTCAACAACAGTAAGAAGGGTCTTTGTTTTGTTCCCCAAATCCCCAGCCCTAGGTGCTCAGTAAAGGTTTATTGAATGAATGGTTGTGTGTTGCTGCAGAAGCTGGGAGAATGGTAAATAGAAACTGGAACCCAAAGTAGGGTTTATGGGTGCTGTGGGGGCTCTTCTATCTCTTTATTTTTTTTTAAAGACTTTATTCATTTGAGAGAGAGAGAGACAGAGCACAAGCAAGGGGAGAGGCAGAGGGAGAGGGAGAAGCAGACTCCCTGCTGAGCTGGGAGCCCGACTCTCATGACCTGAGCTGAAGGCCGATGCTTAACCATCTGAGCCACCCAGGCACCCCATCCCCTCTCTCTTTATTTTTATCCTCTGCAGTGATTCCTCCTTTCCCTCCACTCCACTGGAAGCCTGCCTTCTCCAGCAGATTTCCTTAAACTGAAACATTCGGAGGTGGAGCCCCTCCTGGCCCCTTAGAAACAACCAGAGCAAGCCGGCTTCCTGGACTTCAGAGGAAGTTCATAGCAAGGCCTGTGGCCATATAGATAGTGTTAGGTTTTACTACCACCCCATTCTCAGGGGTTGTTGTGTATCAAATATTTCTGGAGAGGACTGAAACCCTAGTGATGACAACTGATGGCCTATGGAGGAGGTGACGTCAAGGTAGGGTGGTAAACTGTGATCAAATCCTGTCGCAAAATCCATGATCTACACATAATATGGACATCAGCTAAAGTTAAATGATTCTTGGATCCTGAAGAACAACAGGATCCCTGACAACCATTCTGAATCCACCTCTCGTCCCCCTACTTCAGGGAGCAGTGGAGGAAGGAAGGTGAGGGTCAGCAGGCAAAGATCCGTCCCTCCTCCAAGTCCCGCCCTATCTTTGGCATGACCCCGCCCACGGGCGAACACCCTTGTTGTGGCCCCGCCCCATCCGTGGACTTCCCTCGGCCTTCATCCCGCCCCCTTACTCCGTTCCTCCGTCTCTCTATGGCCAGGACCACCACTGGCCCCGCCCCTTCCGGCCTGCCCTCGCCCCCTCCCTTCACGTCCTGCCCCGCCCACTTCATAGGTTTCTAAAGGCGCGCGCGAATCTTGGCAGGCTCTCGGCCGCTGAGCTCCGAGTGGACCCCGAGCCCGGCCGGTGGCAGGTGCGGGAGGAGGCTGGTCGCCACGTCGGGGCAGGCGCTGGCGTTCTGCTCCCTTTCGCCAGTTCTCGAGGCTGAGGTCAGGAGCCAGAGCGGCGGCCGGCGCAGCCCCGGGGCCATGGAGTCCCGGAGCCCCGGAGCCCCGGGCATGGCGGCCTCGGAGGCGGCGCCCGCTCTGGCTGAGGACGCGGGGTCGGCGCCCTGGGCGCAGCTGGACGCCCCCGCCCGGTTCCTGCTGCAGGCGCTGCAGTCGGGGCCGGAGGGGGCGTGGCGCGGCCTGGGGCTGCTGCGGGCGCTGGGCAGTCGCGGCGAGGAACCCTTCTGCTGGGGCCGCGTCCTGGAGGCGCTGTGCCGGGAGGAGCCCGTCGTGGAGGGCCCGGACTGTCGCCTGGAGCTGTAAGTCGTCTGGTCGCGGGGCGCCACCCCACTTTTCTGGATGAGGAGACCACGACCCGGAGAGGTTCATTAGTTCCCCACAGCCAGGCGTCCCTGCCGCGCATCCTGGGCGGGGGGCATCCAACAGACCTTCACTGAGGACCTACTGGGTGCGGCCGGAGCGGGTAGACATAGGCCTCCCGCCGCGTGTAAATGAATAACTAGAAGCCGGTGGACTCAAATCGCTTCCGATCATATAACTTTCTTCTCTAAGGAAATCGAACTCATACCTCCAGTGTAGGGATACTTAGGTATAACCGAGTGTACACAAGGGTAAAAATACGTACATTATAAAGTATACAAAGTAGAAATTTTACAAAGTAGAAATTTAAAACATGGTGACCGAACAGACATCTGATGGAGTGGGTTTATAATGTCAAATTTTCAAAGCACAGTATACGTTTTAGGGCAAAATCACTTTCCTTATGGATGGTGTTCTTGATCATTTATGGTCTTGGGGGTGACTCTGAACTTTATTTCTTATTTTTTTGGCCTCTTTATGTAACTGACAATTTCTCCTCGGAGCAGAAGTGTCAGCTCTGCCATTTTCTTATTTGGTGCGCTTCCGTTACTGGTATTCAGCTTTTCTTTCTTTCTTTCTTTCTTTCTTTCTTCTTTCTTTCTTCCTTCCTTCCTTCCTTTCCTTTCCTTTCTTTCCTTTCTTTCCTCTTTCCTTTCTTTCCTCTTTCTTTTTCTTTCAGATTTTATTTATTCGTGAGAGACAGACAGGGAGAGAGAGGCAGAGGGAGAAGCAGGCTCCCCACAGAGCAGGGAGCCCGATGCTGGACTTGATCCCAGAAACCTGGGATCATGACCTGAGCGGAAGGCAGACGCTTAACCGACTGAGCCACCCAGGCACCCCTTAGAGCATGTGTCTCGTTATCTCAGGGTCCTGAGTTCAAGCCCCACATTGAGCTTACTTAAAAAGATAAATAAATTAGAAAAACTTTTTGGAAAGATTTTATTTTTTGACAGAGACAGCGAGAGAGGGAACACAAGCAGGGGGAGTGGGAGAGGGAGAGGCAGGCTTTGCCCCGAGGAGGGAGCCCGATGTGGGGCTCGATCCCAGGACCCTGGGATCATGAACTGAGCCGAAGGCAGATGCTTAACGACTGAGCCACCCAGGCGCCCCAATAAATTAAATTTTTTAAAAAAAGAATGTGCTATGGGATGGGCCAAGACCCAAAACAAAAATAATAATAGTAGTAGTATTAATCCAGGATGCTGTGCAGTGCTTACTCTGCAGCCCTGTGCTCGCCTTGGCTATCCCCTGGAACTTACAAGGTCACAGCTGTGTAGCTTTGACATTCCTTTCACCCCACTGGGTTCCTGAGAGGCAGAGGCAGACTCTCCTTTCTGCACGTCCCAGTACCCAGCACAGCGTCAGCCCATCGCAGGGACTGGGTGCACATCTACTGAATGAATAAACTCTCCGAGAATAAGTGTCCAGAGGTTAGCCAGGCTACTGTGGACAGAGCAATGCAGCCGTCTGCCATGTTGGCAACGCAAGAATCCAGATGCTGTGTGACCTGAGGCTTATTGGTGTGGCAAGCAAGTCATGGGTACATCGAGCCCACCTGCCATCACGCCTCTGCTCCTCTCTATGTGATTTTGCAGGGCTGCTTGTCATCACATACAAGGGGCACCTGGGATGCCCAGGTTCAGTCAGTGAAGCTTGTGACTTGTGATCTTGGGGTTGTGAGTTTGAGCCCCATGTTGGGTGTAGAGTTTACTTTAAATAAATAAAATCTTTTTTTTTAAAGATTTTATTTTATTTATTTGATAGAGAGAACACAAGCAAGGGGAATGGCAGGCTGAGGGCGAGGGAGAAGCAGACCCCCTGCGGAGCAGGGAGCCCGATGCGGGGCTCGATCCTAGGATCCTGGGATCATGACCTGAGCGGAAGGCAGATGCTTAACGACTGAGCCACCCAGGCGCCCCTAAATAAATAAATAAAATCTTAAAAAAAAAAAAAAAAGAGTCGGATGCTCTACTGACCAAGGCAGCCAGGGGCCCCTGGAGTATTATTTTTATATAAAGTTGGGGAAGGGACTTTTTTTTTATGTAAAACAAGGATCTTTATAGAGTAGGTTTCTTTTTTTTTTTTTTAGGATTTTATTTATTTATTTGTCGGGAGAGAGAGAGAGAGTACAGCACGGGGAGGGGCAGAGGGAGAAGGAGAAGCAGACTCCCTTTTGATCAGGGAGCCTGATATGGGACTCGATCCCAGGACCCTGGGATCATGACCCGAGCCGAAGGCAGACGCTTAATGACTGAGCCACCCAGGCGCCCCTAGAGTAGGTTTCAGTGTGAATTTTTTGAGCTGAACTAGGTGTTGAAGAGCAGAGCCTAGCACAGAATACATGAATACGTGCTCAACTTTAACAAAATAAAAAAAAAAAAAAATGGAATTGCTCAGAGAACTTTTGGCTGTTTAGCAATAGTAAAAGGAACTCAAACTGGCTTCACCATCACAGCAAAACATACATGCTCAGTGAAGGCCTCATGCTGACCCCCGCCGTCCCCCCGCCCTGCAGGCACCGCCCCTGAGCCGCCCTGTCTGTCCATTGCCCTCCCACCTCTAGCTCTGCCTCTGCTGTCCTCTGCTCCTTCCAGCAAGATGCTCTTAACTGCTTCTCCTCCTCCTGCTACCAGGAGGCCACTGCTGCTGCGATTGCCCCCGTTATGCCAGAGGAACCTGATGTCCCTGCTGATGGCCGTCCGGCCCTCGCTGCCCGAGAGCCGCCTGCTCCCGGTGCTGCAGATTGCACAACAAGCGCAACAAGCCGACGCCTGGCTCCGGGCCCTGGGGCAGTTGCTGCGGAGGGACCTGAGCGCCGGGGTAGCGGTTGAGGGAGCGGGCCCCCTGTCTACACGCTGCCAGAGAGAGCTCCAGGGCCTGTGTGGGCGGCTGTGCCAGGGAGGCCGGAGGCTGCAGTTAGCCCAGGCTCCCGTTCCCGACGAGGAAGAGAAGGAGGGCCAGGACTCCCCGCGGCCTGGGAAACGCAGAAAGGGGCCAGAGGAAGAGCCTGCCAGTCCTGAGGGCCAGAGGGCCCCCAAAAGGTTCCGGCGTTTGGAAAGGGAAGGGGAAGGAGGTCAGGAGGAGGAGAGACGTGAAACTGAATCTTTGGAGACCCGGGCAGATGGAGGAGGTGCCTCACCCATCAAGAACCAGCCTGTCGGAGCCGAGCCCAGGGAGGCTGGTCAGAGTCTGGAGGAGGCTCAGGGCCTAGCCGAGAATTTGGAGTTGCCCAAAGCTGTCCAGGTACTAGAGGGGGGGAGGTTGGGTTTAGAGTGATCCTCCAGGAGTGGGGGGGGTTTATCCAGGGCAAAAGCTGGTTGGGAGACTATTTCCCAGCTGGGATAAACTGGAGTCCACGGAGCAGGGGTGGGGTTAAGGGAGTAGTCTCTGCTCCCCAGACTCCGGGGAGGGGGTGGTGAGGAAGTTATTGGAAAGGGAGGGTCCTTTGGCCTTAATGATCTACAACACGAGGTTAAGGGATTGCCAGGCGAGAAGAGAAGGTCCAGAGCTGTCCTGTGGAGGGTGTGGAATCATGCCAGCCTCCAGCCAGCCAGTCCTCCCAACCCATTAGGGTGGGTGCAGGGAGGACAAGTCTCAGCGGCTGCATTTCCACGGGCCTTGTTGACTTTGAGTTCTTAAGCACCTCTCAAGGTTTAGGCTTCGTGTTCTTGACTCTCTTGAATCATCCTTGCCTGCTAGCTCCCACTGATCCGGGGCCTTCTTGGGAGAGGGGGCTAGGATGGCCTGGGGCCACACCGTGTTGGTAGGAACTTGGCAGTGACTGGGCTCTCCTCTGCAGGACCAGGTTCCCAGGCTGCAGCAGCTGCTCAAGACCTTCGGGGAGGTACCTGGCCCCCGCTCACCATTGCCCCTCGTCCACCTGCCAGCTAGACCTCAGCCCTGCCCAGGGAAGCACAGACTGTTTGGACAGCGGGGGGTCGGAGTGGGGGTCTGTCTCGGCCCAAGGACAGATATGTCATCTAACCCCAGACAAGTCCCTCTCCTCTGGTAGCATCCAGGCTCCTCATTCACCCATGCTGCCAGACAAAGGGGTGGTCTCTGACTCGTCACCAAGGGCTCTGCCAGCACAAACATGGGATTTGCCTTTCCAGGGGTCGGAGGGCGCCCCCCCGCCTGAGCTGCAGCTTCTCCACGAATGCAGTCCTAGCCAGGTGAGTCCAGAAAGACTGCCTGGCCCTGAGGGTACATCCCCTCTCCCCAGCCTTTTTCCATTTAAGTCTGTGTTTCCTTGCCTCACGTGGGAATGGGGGGAGGGGATTTTGTTGGGGTTTTTGGCCCCTTGGGTAGGGGTCACCCTGTGTGTTCTCTTTTAGCCCTCGGATATTCACCACGGGGTAGCTTTCCCTGCCTCACCTTACCTTGGCGTGTCCTTGCCCCGCCCATTCTGCTGCCCGGTCAGCTTGAGTCAGCCTAGCAGGGGCAGACTGAGTGCATCTGTGTCGTCCCTCCTACTTGGCAGATGGACCTGCTGTGTGCCCAGCTGCAGCTCCCGCAGCTCTCGGACCCAGCTCTCCTGCAGCTCTGCACCTGGCTCCTGTCCATTTCACCAGATCTTAGCCTTAGCAATGCGACCGTTCTGACCAAGAGCCTCTTCCTTAGACGGGTAGGTGTGTTGTGATATACTGGGCATGCCAGGGACTATGGGGGAGAGAATCTGAGCCCTCAGAAGGGTGGCGCTTCGGAGAGCAGGTTCCCAACCTTGTAAGGCGTCTGGCCAGTCGAGGCAGCCTGGGGCAAGGGAAGGGCATGGACCTCCAGGCCATCTATCCACACGGCACCAAATTCCTCCCTCCTGGGCCCCAGACCCTCCCAGAAGCTGAAGGGATTTCGGAGCTGAGGAAGGAAGTTTTGTGTCTTTTCCAATGGGGGAATCCATGTGAGTTCTAGATAAAAGAACTTCTGTTTTTTTCATTGTAACGTGTATCACCATCTTAAATACATGTCTGGTAAACATGTATTAAAAGGAAGAAGAAACGAATGGATTAATATTTTCCTCCCCATTGGCTGTAGATTCTCTCCCTGACCTCCTCAGCCTCCCGCCTGCTCATGACTGCCCTGACCTCCTTCTGTGCCAAGTATGCCTATCCTGTCTGCAGAGCCCTTCTTGGCCCCGTGCTCCAGGCCCCAGGAACAGGTAATTCTGGAACCAGCCCCAGGCCTGGTAGCTCTGCCCTCTGGGTTCCCAGCACCCTTCACTCCAGGGGACCTTGGCAGTTGTGTATTCAGTCAGTAAAGATCCCTTGCTTCCCTGAGGATGCCCCCCTATAATGAGCCAGGCGTTCTGTTCCAACCTCTCCTGCCATCTGCCCCCAGACCTCCCCCCTCTGCCGTCCCCTCCCCAGGTCCAGCTCAAACAGAGTTATTGTGTTGCCTTCTGAAGGATGAGGCCCTGGAGCCAGACATGCAGCTTCTAATGCTGGGGTGAGTGTACAGGCCCCTACCCCCAGCCCCTCACTGGCCCAGCCTGCTCCCGGCATTCTGGAGCTGGAGCCGCCTGGGTATAGCAGGTCCTGTGCCTGAAAGATGGGCAGCGGCCCAGCGGATGCCTCTCTCGCTGTGGCCCGAGCCTGGCTTGTGCCTTGCCCTCGTGGGCCTGGGCAGGTTGCCATCCCGGGACCCCGCCCAGGTGGTGCCGGGTTCCAGGCTTCCGGGCCAGGTGCCTTGGAGAGCACAGGGGAGAGGCTGGTGGTCACCCGAGCATGGTTAAGAGTTCCGGCTCTGGAGCCAGGCGGACGGGATTTCGAATCTCAGCCTTGCCCTGGGTCAATTCAAACAGCTTTCTCCATGTCTCTGAGCCTCTGGTTCCTCATATGAAAGATGGGGATGATATTTACTCGGTAGGATTTTTCTAGATGTGTTTTTCTAGATTAAATGTGATAATGCATATAGACCTCAGCACGGTACTTGGCCCCGAGTGGGTGCTCAAAAATCGTCATTAAATTGGTGTTCAGTTTGGGTATTAAAACTGGGGAGTCAAGATCCGGACACGTAGAAACAAATGAGTAGCTAAGAGCCCACTGACACTAAAGTGAACTATAAAATGCTGACTCTCACATGAGAAGGGGACAGTCAGAACAGTCACGTCAGCCACCACTCATCGAGTCCTTTCTCTGTGCTTTAGAGTCATTCTCTCAGTTAGTCTTCACCCAGTGCTGTGAGGTGGGTGCCGTGGCCGCCCTAGAGATGGAAAACCTGAAGCCCAGGGCTGTTAAGGGACGTGGGCCAAAGGTCACAGAGCCAGCAAGTGATAAAGCCTGGGATCAGACTCAAGGCCGTGCAGCCAAGAGGCCACACTGCTCCCGGGTGTGACACAGTCCCTTTCCACACGAGCAGAGGACTGCCCTAGCCCGGGAAGCACAGCTGGAGTGGCCGTCCCCGTGGGCCGGGCTCTGCCCTCTAGAAAGCCTTATGGGCCTCTCACTGCACCATCACCCTCTTCCCTGGGTCACCCTCACCTTCTGTACCCACGATGCACTCTCCACTCCTGCTTGCTTTTCAGGAAACCTTGGTGCACCTTACGCCAGATCCTTCATGGTCTGCCCCAGGAGTCTTGGGCTGTAGCCTTCCAAGCACCGAGTGTGGACTGGCTACTGGGTGGCCGCCAACATGGGTCGGCGGGTGGCGGGGGGGGCTCTGACTACTTGCTCTGATGGCTGGGGGATCTTGGCTGTCTCCGGGGCCTTGCTCTGCCTTGGGGGTAGGAGCAGTAGATACCCAGATGTGGGCTGTCCTCAGCGGGGCCTGTGCTTTTTGTAGACAGATCTTGGAGCTGCCCTGGAAAGAGGACACTTTCTTGGTGTTGCAGTCACTGCTGGAGCGGCAGGTGAGCAGGCTGCCTTGGGGAAGGGTGGCTGAGGACGTGCCGCAGTGCTGTGGACGGGCGTGGGCCTCCTGGGTTTCTGGTCCCTCCGGGGATGGAGGCAAGCAGAACAGCTGCCCTGCAGCAAGCTGGGCTCTTGACAGTGGGTGAGTCCTAGGGGTTGAAAGGCTAGTAGCCGAGAGCGGACCGCATGGTGGAGCCCAGCTCTGCCTCTTCCTAGCTGCGTGGCCTTGGGGAGGGACTGTGTGTGTGTGTGAAATTTTTTATTTTATTTTATTTATTTTATTTTATTTTATTTTATTTTATTTTATTTTATTTTATTTATTTTATTTTATTTTATTTTATTTATTTTATTTTTTTTTTATTTTATTTTATTATTTTATTTTATTTTATTTTATTTTATTTATTTTATTTTAGTTTAGTTTAGTTTAGTTTAGTTTTATTTATTTGAGAGAGAGGGAGCAAATGAATGCAGGAGGGAGAGGGAGAGAGAATCTGAAGCAGACTCTATGCTGAGCACGAAGCCTGACAGGGGGCTCGATCCCATAATCCTGGGATCGTGACCTGAACAGAATTAAGAGTCAGATGCTTAACTGACTGAGCCACGAGGCGCCCCGAATTTAATTTTATTTTTGAATAAATAAATAATAAACATATTCACAATTTTTTAAAAAGATTTTATTTATTTATTTGAGAGAGAGAGAGACAGAGATAGCACGAATGGGGAGGAGAGGGAGAAGCAAACTCCCCGCGGAGCAGGGAGCCTGACGCGGGACTCGATCCCAGCTCGATCCCAAGACTTTGGGATCATGATCTGAGCTGAAGGCAGACACTTAACCAACTGAGCCACCGAGGCTCCCCTCACAAATTTTTTTTTTAAGATTTTACTTATTTATTTGAGAGAGAGTGCATATGTGTGGGGGGAGCGGAGGAAGAGGGAGAGCCAGAATCCCAAGCAGACTCCCTACTCAGTGCAGAGCCCTACTCGGGACTCAACCCCATGACCCTGAGATCGTGACCTGAGCCGAAACCAAGAGTCAGATGATTAACCGACTGAGGCACCCAGGTGCCTCTATGTTCACAAATTTTAAAGCTCAAAGGATATAGTGAAAAATGCCACCCCCTTCCCGCCATCCAGACTCCCCTCTCCAGGGCTAGTCAGTGTTAGTGGGTTTCAGGGGAACTCTCCCAGAGATGCTTTTATATACAAGAACACGTGTTTAAGTTGACTTTTTGCCTGCTTTTTTACAGAGATGGCAACACACTGAGCTCAGTGCTCTGTACTTTGCTTTTTTAACTTACAGTATATTTTTGCAATTTTGCTATATGACTACCTAAAGTTCTGCCTCATTTGTTTATAACTTAGGTAGCTGACCTAACCTCTTTACGCCTCAGTTTTCCCCTCTACAGAAGGGGAGTGATGATAGTATGTCCCACACAAGGCCGGGGTGAGGTCGAAATGGTCATTGGTGTAAAATGCTCAGAACAGTGCCTGATGCATAACAAGTATTTATTAAATTATTATTAAGGAGAGCTATTGTTATTATGCTGGCAGTACCCTGGGGACTCCTCGCACCTTTATATCTTCAACCACCAAGTGAGGCTGCGACCTGTGCGCCAGGCTTTATGTGTATTATTTCATTTAATTCTTTACCGTCTTTAGCGTTAGATATGAGCGCCATTTTTACAGGTGCAGAAACTGAGGCTTTGTTTGGTTATGTGACCTGTCCAGGGCTACTTAGTTAGAAAGTGGTAGAGGTCGGAATTGAATCCAGGGCCCTTTCTTCTCTTGTCTCATCTCCCAATGTGTGCAGGTGGAGATGACCCCTGAAAAGTTCAGTGTGTTGATGGAGAAGCTCTGTAAAGAGGGGCCAGTGGCCACCACATCTGTGGCCTATGCCAAGCTCATGCTGACGGTGATGACCAAGTATCAGGCCAGTGTGAGTATTGGTAGGGCCATGAGGGCTGGTCCTGCTGCTCTGAGTATGCCACGAGTGTGTACGTCTAGATGTTTGCCAGGGAAGACACCGTGAGTGTTAGCCAGGGAAACTACAAGTTCAAGCCTCGGACTGGGGAACGAGACTGCTTAGGAGTTCATTCATCCAGCCCACACTGCCATGAGCCAGATGCTGTATGGGGCCCTGAGGAATCAACAGTGTCCATAACACAGTCCCTGTCCTTGACTTGACACTCTCCACCGGTGCCAGGCTAGTGAGGCAGGAGAGAGATGACAACCAGATCAGCATAGTATCTGGAAGGAGCCAGGCAAGAGGTGTGTGCGGGGCATTTGGTTGCAGAGCGGGAGGAGGCGCAACTAAACCTTGTTTGTGGTTGGGAGTTCGGGCAGGCTGCTCAGCTCTGAAAGGGTGAGTGGTGGCCAAGGGCCAAGGCTGAGGAAAGAGTATTTCAGGCAAAGGAAACAGTATAAGCGATGAGCATCCAAGGGGATCTACAGGTAGTAGCTGAGGCCTAAAAACATGAGAGTGGATGGTGGTAGGGGTGAGGTTAGAGGTCAGAATTAAAACACTGAGAGCTGATACCACAGAGCCCCTGCTACAGCTTAGGCACTGTTCGAAGCCCTTTGCTTATATTAACTTGTTTATTCCGTGTGTTGGCCCAATGAGAAAATACTATTATTAGCTCCATTTTATAGATGAGGAAGTTGAAACGCAGAAAGATTAAAGTGACCTGCCCAAGGTCCCATGGCCAGGCCATGCTAGCATCTTATGGAACACCCTGTAGGTTATGATGAGGAGCATGGACTTTATCTTGACGGTCAGGTGTCCTTGGCTGTTGGCCCTTTACCTTTTTTGGGGAGTCACAGTCCCATTTGATGACTTGATGAGAGCTATAGATCCTCCCAGAAAAATGAAAATCTGAACACACATCTAATGCGCAATTTCAGGAGGCTCCTGGATCCTCTGGAGACCCTGTAGATCCTGGAAGAAGGGCCTCCAATATGAGACATTGGTAGTTATCCCAGGGACCCGCTGAAGCTTGAGTGACTTGGTCAGATTTGCATTTTATAAAGGAGTCTCTGGCATCTATAAGGAGTGGAGACTGGAGAGAAGATACATGGCAGAGACCTGTCAGGAGGTTGTAGTGGTAGGTCAGGGAAGAAATAGCAGGCCCCATAAGGAATGTGGCAGCCCCAACGGAGTATCTCTGACCCTCAGTTTTCTCATCTGTATAATGGGAGGGTTGTGCAGATTACATGAAGTTATGTTTATAAAGTGTTGCTACGTAGTAAGCACCCAATAATTGTCATCTGTTATTAGTGTGGCTGACTTAGTAAGTTGAACAATTAATATTTGACCCCAGGTCCACTTGAACACAAAGACCTTGTATAATCATGGTGAAGTAAAAGTAATGCATTTAGATATCTCCTCCATTGTCCTTGTGTCCTGATTCCTCTCTCTTTCCTCCTAAACAGTGCCATGGGGCAGAGGGGAAAGGGGAAGGATCGGTTGCTGGAGTCCTGATATGATTCTTCCTTCTCCCCAGATCACTGAGATCCAGAGGCTGGGCCTGGCCACAGCCCTAGAGCTCAACACCACTTTCCTGAGGAAGTCCCTGAAGGCCGCCCTGAGACATCTGGCCCCCTGACCATGCACTAAGGGACCACACTCCGGGAGCTCCCTCACCAGCTGCCTGAAGGATACTTCTGCCCTCAGCACCTCATCCTGACCCCTTGCCTGGGGGTAAAGGCTGAGCCTGGCCAACCCAGGGGTCCGCTGCCTCCCTGCTCCAGGACGCAGAGAGGACATCTTGGCCTCCCAGCCAGCAGGGAAGGTCCTGGGCTAGGCAGCCTTGATGCGCTTTATTTCCAAGGGATGCTGACTTTGGGCTCACTCCTTGTCACTTTTACTTCAGACTGTGGGGACAGAAACTTTCTGAAAGGCCTCAGTAGGGTCAAAGCAGACCTAGGTAGATGAATGATGCTTCAGGATCCCTGAGGTAACCTGTGTCCTCAGCACAAATATCTTGCGCTCAAGTGTATGTTATGACCCTCTGTGTTCCGACTTGGATAATAATTTATTAAAAAGCAGGTATTTAATAAAAAGCAGGAAGTTTTAATATTTTCTTCAAAGCAGCGGCTGCCTTCCTATGAACTCTGGGTATTTGTTGAAAACCAACAGACACCACCACCACCCACCCTACTCAGTGACAAGGGGCATCTTTTTCCTGGTGAAGGTGACAAAGTTCTCAAGTTCATTCATTCAGGTTCTTGACGATGCTGTGTGATACCACTCCCCTCAGCCCTATCAGAGCTGTCTGTTGAGTGGGTGAAGTGTGCACTGACCCCTGGAGAATGGGGCCTTGAAGGTGGGTGCAGCTGTCTGGAGTTGGAGAAGGTTTGTTCATAGTAAACACTTAACTGGGTAGGTGTGATTCAATCAACTATCAGCTACCTTCCCAGCTCTTCCCCACTGCAGGCTTCGAGGGGCCGGGAACAGAATTTTCACGACATTTCCCTTCTCACGACTTCTCTGAAACCATGAGCCCCAGAGCAAGATGATGAGGGAGAGGTCAGGAGTAAAGCCTGCTTTTGAGACCCGAAGCAGAGGCGGTGGGCAGAAAAGGGTGGAGGGACAAACATGCGGGAACTGCACGCTCTCAGCGGCCGTCACGCTGCGGGGCCCAGGACCAGCCTCTTAAGTGGCCGGCAGTAGCAGGCGCCAATGGGCACGTTGTCCGCGCGCCACGGGGCGCCCGGGACCGCCGCACCTCCTCGCCTTCGAGCCAGTCTAGTTGTGCAACGCGCGGCAGCGCCCTCTAGCGGCCGCGGACGGCGGCGTTCCCCGGGATTGAGCGACCCGGCCGCGCTCGGGAGGAAGCTACAGGAAAAGGCATCTCGCGAGAACAAGAGCCTTATTTGAGCGCATGCGCGAGTTCAATTACCTCTTTTCCGGTTACTGCGGCGCGAAGAACCATGAGGTGAGTGGCGCTGGGGGAGCCATCCGCCCCCATCCGCGATTCCTGGCACCCTGGTAAGGAGGGAGACTTGCGGGCTGAATCGGGGGTGGTCTTTGCCCCTGTTTCGCAGAGGGGCATTTCTCGCCGGGCGTCGTCCTATAGTCCCCGGCCCCCAGTAGGGTATCTCTTCCTCGGGGCTTCATTGTCGCGCCCATATCGCCCGACGCGGTGTCCGGAATCCCCTCGGGTGGGGTGCGTCTGGAGGCCCGAGGCTTCCGACCGCGCCGAAGCCTCCAGGTGCCGAGCGCTCGCCTTGCGTCTCTCCCGCAGCAGCAAAGTCTCCCGCGACACCCTGTACGAGGCGGTGCGGGAAGTCCTGCACGGGAACCAGCGCAAGCGCCGGAAGTAAGCCCGGGCTCGGGGGCTGGGCGGCGGCGTGGAAGCCGCGGGCCTCCGCCTGACGTTGTCGCCTTCTCTAAGGTTTTTGGAGACGGTGGAGCTGCAGATCAGTCTGAAGAACTATGACCCTCAAAAGGACAAACGCTTCTCGGGCACCGTCAGGTTGGCACCGCTCTGACCCCACCCAGCCCTCCGTGCGCCCCCGTGCCCGTCGCCACCCTCCAGGCTCCTGTTGAGCTTGAGACGGGCGGGCGCGGGTGGCACGGACGCGCCTGGGTAGTTCAGACCCCCTGCCCCGGGCAGGCGTGGCTGGACGGACCCCCACCCTGGGTCTTAAAATAAGAGGGGAGGCGTGGGGAGGCCTTGGCCGAGCCCGCCGGCTAGTTTGAGAAGCCACACTAGCTGTTGGTGAATGTGGACGTTCTGGGTAAGGCTCCGTGGCTGCAGCGGTCCCAGGCCCCTTCACCTGCTTTCGGAACCCCACGCTGGGCTTGACCTGTTCTGTCCCCCAAAACGCAGGCTTAAGTCCACTCCCCGCCCCAAGTTCTCCGTATGTGTTCTGGGGGATCAGCAGCACTGTGATGAGGCCAAGGCAGTGGATATTCCCCACATGGATATTGAGGCGCTGAAGAAACTCAACAAGAATAAGAAATTAGTCAAGAAGTTGGGTGAGTGTGCCTTAGGGTGGTTTTGTATTGGGGCAGACAGTTGTCATGGGAGTGGTAGAAAAGTGGCAGTACTGCCATTTGGATTTTAAAATGATGGAAGAGGGTGCAGAGAATCATGATGGAAAAGATTGCTGTGGTGGGTTAACTTGAGTAGTAGTTTTTAACCTTTTAAAGATTCTTTTTTATATTTGCTCTGAGGATTCTTTCTAAACAGGTGAGCTCCCCTAAGTTGACCAGTCAGGTGCTGGTATGTTCTGAAATAGGGTTTCTACTTAAAACCCTCTCTCTCTTTTTTTTCTCTCCATCTTTACCCTATGTGGTGGAAGCGTTTTCACAGATAGGAAACTGGTACCCTGGTTGTCCTGTAACTAGGAAGTAGGCAGGCAGGATTTGAACTCAAGGAGTCTTAACCAGTGTGTGCATTTACTATTGGAACATGAGGAGAGTGGGTCAGCCTGTCAGCTTCTGACACCAGGTTTCGTGCGAATGTTGGGCCAGTAAAAGTCCAGGGGATAGAGATAAGCTAGAATGAGGAGAGGATTAAAAAGACAGTACGTGGAGAAGAGGAGTAGAGTGTGGTGGTTAGAGGCCACTCTCGTGGTTGGTTAACGGAACTGTTGGGAGCTTGCCTTCGGGAGGCCAGATCCTAAGCATCCAATGGCTTCTTTTTACCAGCCAAGAAGTATGATGCCTTTTTGGCTTCAGAATCTCTGATCAAGCAGATCCCACGAATCCTGGGCCCAGGCCTGAATAAGGCTGGCAAGTTCCCTTCCTTGCTGACCCACAATGAAAACATGGTGGCCAAAGTGGATGAAGTGAAGTCCACCATCAAATTCCAGATGAAGAAGGTAAGGAGGTCTGACTGGGTTACATAGGTTAAGCTGTGGTGGTGGTAGGCACCACCAGTCCTGAAGTTTACCCCGATTCTCCAAGTGGGAGCCCTGGTTTGCCTTTCTTTGGATATTTAGGATTTGTGACAATCACTGGGCAGAAATGATTTAAGTTTTTCACATAGCCCTGGTCTGGGGTCAGAGTACTGTTTGTAGGGTCACTGGAGGGGTGGGGAGGGATGGGCCTGTAGATGTGCCTACTCTGATTCTTTTCCATCTAGCCACCAGCCTGATTTGACTTCACTCTTCCCGCAGGTGCTGTGTCTGGCAGTGGCTGTTGGCCATGTGAAGATGACAGATGACGAGCTTGTGTACAACATCCACTTAGCGGTCAATTTCCTGGTGTCCTTGCTCAAGAAGAATTGGCAGAATGTCCGGGCTTTATACATCAAAAGCACCATGGGCAAGCCCCAGCGCCTGTACTAAGGCACAGTTCAATAAATCCTAGTGCTACCCTTAATCTGTCTGCCTGTGACTAGGGAGAGGGAGGTGCTTTGTGAGCTGACACTGCATGCCATAGCACTGTGTTGGTGACGGCAGTTTCTGGCATCCACTGATGGGTGGTCATGTTCTCCATACTGCAAACCCGGAAGTACATTCTATCTACCTTCAAAGCCATGTGGTCTTATTTAGATCTCTTGGATATTTTATAACGTGATGGGCTGCTAACCAGGACTGAAGCTTTTCTGAACCCTGAGAAGGGCAGATCTGGGCTAAGGCTCCAGCCTCTAGTGCTCCCACTGCTTGCTAGTGGAAAGAGGGAGGGGTAGGGTAGGACCTTCACATTTTGAGCACATTGACTCAGTTTTCAGCAGCATGCTTAACCTGTGGCCTAAAGTTCCTTCTCTAACCGTGATTTCTTTCTGTGGGCTTCTTGTTTTAACCCTCTAAATTGTGCATTTGAGCTGTTGGTAGGGATCACAAAGAACGTTACAAATGGAGATTGGGTTCCTAGATTCTAAAAGATGGGAGGGGACACAACCCTAATTTACTTGTCTGATCCTAAATTAAATACTCTATATTCAGGGTAGTAACTTACTGTGAGATGCTTAGGAAAACACAAGTAGGAGACCTATAAGAAAATGTAATTGCCCCTGTTTTCTAGGGGAGTTTAGCAAATGGGTAGAATCAAGCTGTGGAAACTTAGGCCCTCTGCTCTCCAGGTAGGTAGGCTCTGCCCTCTTCCTGACCTGAGGCACTTCCCTGTTGGGAGTGGGTTTTGTTTTGTTTTAAAAGATTGTATTTGAGAAGGAGCAGGGGGGGAAGGGAGAAGACTCCCCACTGAGCAGGGAGGCCGATGCAGGGATCCCAGGACTCTGGGATCATGACCTTGAGCCAAAGGCAGACTGAGCCACCCAAGTGCCTCTTCCCTGTTGGGAGTTCTTGCCTCCAGCACCAATTACTGGGAAGTTGGGTTTTGGTATGGGAAATACCTCTGATTGGATTTTAAGTTAGTAACTTAGTAATTTTGCTTAAAGGTAAAATGATTACAACCTAATCTTGGAATGAGTCTTGAATTTGGGTTCCAGTGTTAATAGGCATAGTTTGCTCCTTTCTCTGCTCTATTATTAAGGCATTAGGAGTGATAAAATACCTATGCTTGTCAGACAATGTTCCAGAAGAGGGAAAAAAGCTGTCGTATAAAACTAGTTGGGACCCAATTTTATTGACAGGAGAGTTTATGCAGAGTCAAAGTGATTGGAAGTTACTATATCAGAACATGCTTGGGCGCCTGGGTGGCTCGATTAGGCGACTGCCTTCGGTTCAGATTGTGATCCTGGAGTCCCGGGATCGGGCTCTCTGCTCAGCAGGGAGTCTGCTCCTCCCTCTGACCCTCCCCCTCCCCATGCTCTATCTCATTCTCTCAAAATCTTAAAAAAAGAAAATGTAGGTTGGCCATGCTTAACTAGGGGAGAAAAATGGGATTTTCTGAAGTTCTACGATTTTTGTAATCCTAAGAAAAACTAAGGCAAAAAGGATATTTTGATGACGGAGTGTAATCAGAAATGGCATTTGTCCAGCCTCAACAGTGTGCGCTCAGGCTGAGAGCCACAAGGCAGAAGCCTCAAGTCCTCAAAGTTCGCTAAGCTGGGCCCCAGCTGCATGGCAAGCACCCAATCCTGAGGGCCTCGGTGGGCAGGGGGTCTGAGCCCGAGACCAGAGAGACATTTCTGTTCCGCCAGGAGCCACGCTGTCCTGACAGCTGTGGAGCGAAGGGTTTTAGAGGCGGGTTTCTCACTTCCCATGTCTACTCAACTGTGTAGTGGGTGCAAGAAGGCTGCCCCATGATTGCCTGCGGGCAGAACCCCTCCCACTCCCTGAGTTCAAATATCCCAGTTCTCCATTCAGGAGGCCTGTGAGCCTGTTGAGTGTTCTCAAAAACGGTTTCCTCACCTGAAAGCGCAGACGACTGCGCCTACCTAAAAGCAGGACCACATCCAAAGCGTTACCGTGCTTTGTGCGGTGCCAGGCTCTTAGCGCTCAAACAGCAGTTGTGAAATGGCAATCACGTGTAGCTACAGACGGGTTTCCAGCCCCAGCACACGAATATCTGCTTGTCTGGCTCACTTGGGTTTAGGTGCTGAGGGATGGGGAGAACAAGGTGGCTTCAAAATTAGTCACGCCTTCCTGTTTGAAATGAGCCAAGGATTAAACTTTTTTTAATAGTTTTGGAAACTCGAGGGGAGGGCAAGTGGGCGTTTTAGAAATACTTGGGAACTTGAGTCTTCCTGGATTATTGATTTGAGTCACGTGGATTTAAATCAGACCCATTCTATCAAGCCTTACGCACTGGGGTGGGAATCCTTGAAAACCCACTATGTTAAGCAAATGCTGACTCACTGCTTTCTGCTGCGCTGTGGGGAATCTGTAGATTCCCTGCTCTCCAGAGGCCCACAGCACCACAAGAAAGAGGAGCAGGCAGCAGAAGGGAAAGCAAAGGGAAAACGTGTGGAGGCTGCTGATTCCACTGTGAATGAAGTTGGCTGTCTAACGAAGTCCCAGCCTCTGGGCTGATTAGTCTAAGGCTTAGTGTGCACCTGAGTTAGAATTCAGGGTTCAGCTATCTGGAGAGCCCCAGTTCTCAGGTATTTGTGCTACAGGGAAATAAAGAGCCCCTGTGAAACATCAGAATGGTGCCTAGGCCTTGAGTGAGGCGTTGACCACAGAAATGACATTCCTCCCTCTTCCTCGGGAACATCAGAACAGGAACAGGGCAGGAAAGACAGAACTACAGTCCCGGTCTTTGAGGTCCAGCCATCTTGGCCCTTCCTTAGAGCTTCCCACAGAAGCCGGAGCAGGGGAGAGCCACTTCCAGGAGAGGGCCCTAGGCTTTGGGCTCAACAAGATTTACCTTCTTATTCTGGTTCCTTCCTTCCTTTGGAACGTTGAAACTAGTCATCACTGACCTCTGGCTCTGTTACATTGGGGAGGGGGGCAGTGGTGGGGCAGGGTGGAGTAGGGTCGGGGGAGACAAGCAAGGAGGCCATATTCCACTTGAGTTTTCTGCACGAGAACTACGTGATTCTAAAAGAAATTACCCGAAGGCTGTTTACTCTGGGAGAGTGAAGGCAACAATGCACGTGATGATGCCTCAAGCACCCAAATAGACTGAATTACCTGTTAGCCCAGAGATTGGATTTTGCATCCAGTCTTCGGCCTGGCACATGGTGGGTCCTTCATAAACCACTTTCTGACTCCAGGACCCCCACCTACCTGCCTGGGGCTCCAGGCACCATCCCCATCCCACAAGTGACAGCCTGGGGTCCATCCAATGTTGTGGACTAAGACAAAAGGCTACCTGATGATTTAAATAGTCTACCACGTGCATGGACTTGGGAGTCAGGCTGACCAGATTCAAATCTTGGTGTAGCCAGTGACCGGCTCGGTGAAGAGAACATTTAACTTCCGTCTGTTTCCCCATCTGCAAACCTGGATCAGAATGATCTAGAAAACAAGAGATTCTAGAGTAGGGTTGCCAGATGTAGCAAATGAAAATACAGGACGCTCATTTAAATCTGAACTTCAGACAAACAACGCATGTCCCCTCCCCCCCCCCTTCCGGGGCCCCTGCGGTATGAGCACAAGCCGGCTCCGAGAGGAGAGCAGGGCTCTCCCAGGCAGACGAGAGCAGGTTGGAATCCGGCTTCCCCTGCTAGCAGCCATCCCCTTAGGAGAACACTCATCCTCCTTGAGGCTCTCTCCTCTGCTCTCAAGTGAGGATAGGACAGTGAAAACCAGTAGCAGCCATCATGAAGACTGGGGAGTTAGCAGGGGCTCCATGTCAGTAGTTGTGTGACCTTGGGCAAGTCACTTCAAAGAGACAACTGAACCTAGGCCAGCACTGGGCACATTTCAGCACTTAACTCACGGCAGGAAGGTGTCAGAGAAAGGGAGTCTGCAAAGCTGTTATGGGATCTTTGAATCAGACCTATTTTGAGTGTGGGTATGGTGTGGGCCCCCCCAGCAGAGATGGGGGAGGGTGGGGTGACACATCAGGACCTAACCTAGCGGGAGCACCCACACGAAGCTAATCCAACCCGGAGAGGTCTGCCACACACTAGTCACACAACTAACCCACAAACAAATAACTTTAATTTTTTTCTTTTTTTTTTTTTTTTTGGAGCAGGAGCCGGGCCTTGAGGACCCCTGCCGCAGCCCCGCGCCACGTTTACAATATAACCCATCACAGCTGGATTTAAAAAATACACAAAAAAAAATAATATACATTATAAAACCTAGGTTGGGTTTGGAAGTGGCCTGAGCAATATGCAAACTGTGAAGACCTTCAGGAAGCTCAGGGGCGGGCGGTGTAAGGAAGGGAAGGGGCACAGTACTTCATATGAAACTCGTCAATGCCCAGAGGCGGCTGGTAGGCCAAGCTGGCTGAGGACTCTGGGTGTTGGGGAGGAGCAGCAGGGGAAGGGTGAACCTTCAGTCCCAGAACTGGCTCTGGGGAGCTGCTACTCCAGGCCTGAGAGACTGGAGGTGGACAGAAACGTAAGGGAGTGGTGCCCACCAAGGGCTCACCAAACCCAAGTCTTGGGCATTTGAAAACATCAAATCCTTCTGCTACCCCTTGTCCCTGGAACACTGGTCTGCCCAGAGGCTGGGACTCCCATCTTCCTACTTGACCCTCCAAGCTATTTTGGAGCCTGCCCCTGGGGGCCTTCTCCCGTCAGGAAGGTGCTGAGGGCCTCGGGCCCCGGATGTGGGCCGGAGCAGCTTGGAGGAGGTCAGCACAGGGGCTCCCGAGGCCCTGGCTGCACTGTGGGCTGACAGAGGGCACCTAACAGGTGCCAAGCACCTGCTGCTCCTCTTTTCTTGCCTGGTCAGAAGCAGCTGCTCCCCTGGGAGGAGGCCCCCAACCTGGCTGGCCCCAGCCCCCAGTACAGACCATTTCTCCCAACCCCCTGCGGCTGGCCCCCCACTCCAGGGAGGCAGTGTATATCTGGGCTCTGGGGACAGGCAGCCCCGGATGAGAATTCCAACTCTGCCCCCCTTGCATGGGTCCCTCAACTTCTCGGAGTTTCAGCCCATCATGAGACACCAAGACCCATCCTTGCCTAGCACGGTCTGAGAGAGGCGCCAGGCACACAGAGGGCCTAGCACCAGGCGCGGCCCACCGCAGGTGCAAGAAAGTGTGGGCCCCTGTCTCTCCTTCTCACCCTAACCCCCAACTTGACACTCTCCTTCCTGGGGCCTCTGCACTCTCACCCCTTCGATCTCCCTTCTACCCTCCCCTGCCGGCCACACATGCCTGAGCCCGAAGGGGTCAGATCCGCTCACTGGAGGCTGGGCAGAGCTGGGTGATGGTTCGGCGTCCGGGGCAGGCTGCCCCACCACAGAGCCCTCCTCTCTTCTCCCACAATTAAAGCGCAGAACAGTGGCAGGGAGTGTGTGTGCTGGGGGTAGGTGGGGAGGCCTCCTGGGTCCAGGGCCTGAGGCCTGGTAGGTGGATGAGTCCTCAATCCAGACCTCCAGAGCGGGGGCGGGGGCCAGGCAGGTGTGTGGAAAAGATGCTTGTCCTGGATCCTGGTGCTGGTGGCCGACGGTGGCCTAGTCTTTGACGAGCTTGTAGACATGGTGCTGGGCCCCGTGCTCGCTGGTGGAGACTTCAAAGACGAAAGCAATGACAAGCAGGGTCTCCTGGGAGTCCCGGCTCGTGACCACCTGGGGGCCAGGTAGGAGGATGCAAGGGGTCAGGCGGCACAGGGCCACAGGGGGGCAGGGGCTGAGAAGACCCTTCTCCTTTCTGGACAGCAGTCTCCTCACCTGAGCCATGGGGCTGGCCACCCCCACTTTGAGGCCCCGGGCCCCCCACGCGCCCTGCTGCCCCTCCCCCCCACCTGCAGGATGGTGAAGTTCTCCAGGACGCTGTTCATCATGTACTTCTCCGGCAGGTGCTTCAGCTTGTGGATGAAGTTGATCATGTACTCGCACATGGGGGAGCGGTGGATGCGGTACACGAAGCGCCCATTCTCCAGCCTGGCGTACTCCGTCTGCGCACAGCCGCGGGGAAGGTGTCACCCCACGTGCCTGCTCCCGGCCCCTCCGTGCCACCCTGGGCCCCCACTCACCTCTACCTTCTCCACCACCTGCTTGCCAAAGGAGCACACCTTGGTGGAGACGCTGATGGTCATGCTATCGGCCGAGCTATACTGAGAGCTGACCCCATAGAAGGCTCCGGGGCCCTCCTGGATGGTGCTGTTGAGGTCGGCCTGCAGGGGGCGTGGGGGGGGGGCAGCCAGGGTGGTGTCAGGTGTGGGCAGAGGCCAGGGGGAGGCTTCCCGCCGCGCCAAATCAGTGTTTTGCACCAGGACCCATCCCCAGCATCCTGCCCACGGGCCACAGGGTCCCCGGTGGGCGGGGTGGGCCCAGGTGCGCTGCGCATGCTGGGGAGGGGGTTGTCGGGAGCAGAGAGGGCAGCTCACCCAGAACTTGACAAGGAAGAAGGCGTTAGGGGGTCCCTTCTCATAGAGTTCCTTCAGTCCACCCTTCTTCTCAGGGAACTTGTCATAGATCTGACGCACGTCGACGGCCTCCAGCGGCGGGTCTGAGAAGGCAGGGTTCGTCTGGCCGATGTGCACAAATAGGTGTTTGCTGTACTGTGGGGAGGGCCCAGTACGGGGTCAGGGGAGCACTCAGGACACGACCGCCCTGGGGCTTCCCAAGCCCAGGCCCCTGAGCCGCGGCCCGGAACCACAGGCTCGCGCAAACCCTCACCCCCACCGCCAGGCACGTTACCGTGTCAGGGTCTCGCTGCACCTCCATGAAGGCCGAATACTCGAGGAGCCGCAGCCGGGAGGAGGCGATGGTGCGGTCCTGCCACACGGGCACAGAGGCAGCAGCTGGGGGGAGCGGGGTCAGGGGCTCGTAACCTGGGAGGGCGAGATGGACCCTCATCTGCATGGGCGTGTGCGCATGCTTACGTACGGAGCTGCCCCCCAGCGGCCCGGAGCCACTGGGCAAACTGGAAAATGGCGCCCCTCTCAGGGAGGAACACAGGCTGGATTTTGAGCCCTCTGCCACATCTCCTTGTACAGTGTACCACCTGCACGACTGTGCAGGGTGGCCCCAGGAGCATACATGGGGGGGTGGTTTATATGTCACTCTTAATGTGTGTCCAAACAGAAAATACAGATGAGTAAAAAGGGAAAAATAATAATTATCCCGAATCCCAATACCTAGACAGAGTGATACTCCGTTAAGATTTTGGTCTATTTCCGTAGACGAATTTTATAAACATGTATCAATGTAGTATCTTCATTGGTGTGTACAACACTGTGAAAGGTAAGGGGCCCGTTCACGGCCTTCCCAATCCCCTATAGACGCCACCCACTCCTCCCTCCCAAAGACAGGCACAGCCCTTGGGCGCCTGCTCTTCTGAGCAGTGGTGCGGGTGTGGAGGGGCAGAGGAGGGGCGGCGGCAGGGGTCTCGTGTGGGGAACTTACTGCTGAGCGTGGGCGGCAGGGGCGGCTGGATGGGGTAGGCTGGCTGTGCAAAGGGCTTGATGCTGCGGACAGGAGCACAGCCTGGTTAGAGGGTCACCCCCCGGCCCCACCTTCCACCTGGTCCCGTCACTTGGGAGTGTCATCTGGTCTCAACAGGGAGCCACCCCGCCTTTCTGCAAAGGCCCAGAAATGCACGCCGGCAAGCTAACTCACCCACTTTGGGTTTTCTCCACATTTGAGCTTTTATGAAACCCTGCTGCATCTCACAACTGAGGTGCACGCTTCATGTGGCCTTTCAACCCCACCCTGAGAGCTGCTCGTTAAACTGAGGGTGTGTCTGTGGATGAAAGTCCTCTCAGAGCCCAGGGAACCCAGCAGCCTCGACTTCCCCACGTGCCGACCCAGAGACTGACCGACAGCAACGGAGGGAGAAGTAACTGAAAGGCGGGCAGACAGACAAGTGGATGAGGAGGCTGATGAATGGACAGACAGACGCACAGCTCTTACTGGCGCTCTCCACCCTTTATGTCTGAATTAAAACGTGCCTCAGCTGTTGCTGGCGCCTGGCTCACAGGGGGAGTCCCAGCGGCCGCCAGGGCCCAGGGTGGGAGAGGGCTGCACTTCGATACTCACTCCTGAGAGGGTCCAGGCTGCTGTCCCAGGAGAGGGGGGCTGCTCCAGAACTGCAGGGAGGGGACAAAGCCCAGCGGCCCCTCAGCACCCACCACCGCCGCCACCGCCCAGCCCTGAAGGCACTCCCTCACCTCAGCTCCCCCATCCCAGGCCCCCAGTACCCGTGAGGAAGTGGAGAAAACGCCTTGGGGCAGAGGGGAGGGCGGGCTGAACTTGTTCTGTAGGACGCTGGCGGAGACGATCTGGGCGGATGACATGGATGCCATGCTCTGGAGGGCCTTGTCCTTGGAGACCTGGTCCTGGGGAGGGGAGAGGCCGCATGGGGCCGGGCCAGGTCAGAGACGGGGCTGGGGCTTGCCTCCCCTCGGGGCCCCTCCCAGGCCCTCAGGGGTCTGTTGTTGTGTGGGCTCGGGAGAGTCTCAGCCCCTGCCTGGGCCTGTCCTCCTAAGAGGACCTCACTCCTCTGAGTCCGGTCCACGGTAAGAAATTATTTTATTTTATTCCATAACCCAGCATATCCCTGAGCACTTCCCCTTATGTTGTGTGGCATGCGCTCTCCTATTTCCTAGTCTGTTTCATCAGTGGTTCTCAAAGTATGGTCCGTGGACCAACGGCACCAGCATCACTGGAAGCTTGTTAGAAATGCAAAGTCTCGGGCCCCAGCCCAGACCCACTGATTCAGAAACTCTGGGGGTGAAGGCCAGAAATCTGTCTTCACCAGCCCTCCCGGCGATTCTGATGCATGCTAAAGTTTGAGAACCACTACATCTCATTTTTAAACAATGTCAGCTGCCAACCTATTAAGTTAATTTCACAATTCATAATTTGGAAATCCTGTGTTAGATGTTCTCCCCCTCCCACATCGTCCCCCAGGGGAGGGAGGGGCAGGCTACTTACCAGGTTCATGGCCTGTGAAGGAGAGGGAAGGTAGATTAGAAGAGGCAACATGAGGGTGATGCAGGGTGGGGACGCGCCCTTTCACCCCCCTCCACTCAACGGCCACCTGGCTCTCGGGTCTGAGGAACCCAGGGGAGCTCAGAGGCAGCTGTGGACCCTCCCACAACCCCACTGCTACCCAGGGGGAGGGCTTCTTAGCTGGGGGGTGCCCTGCAAAGGGCAGGATGAGGGAGGGCAGGCTGGAGACCTAGAGGGTGGACCACGCTGTCGCCCCTGGGGTCTGTCCGCGTCCTCTGGAGCTGTGATATAGGCACGGGGGCCTGGAGCGGGAGGCCTAGTCTGCTGCGCAGCCAGGAAGCAGGTAGAAGACACGGCCTACAGGGGCCCTGAGCCCCCCATGCTCTGAGACCCTCAGCCGCAGAGCAGCCAAGACTGGGCATCCAGTGCAAGGGGCAGCCAGGCCCACCACCACAGCTCTGCCAGCCGATGCGCCCGTGTCTCCTCCCTGCCCACCTGAAGGCCCCGTGCAATTAACAAGCAGCAATCAGGAGGAAGGAGAAAAAGGAAAAGGAAGAAGAAGAGAGGTGGGCCCTAGTGGCCCCCAGATGGTCTTCCTCTCCCTCACTGTAGGGCTGGCTGTCCCCCTGGGCTTCTGCTTAGTCTCCAGGGGCTGTGGCCCTCTGTAGCCCAAAGTGGCCTTTGGGCTTCATGCTGCTCTTTGTGTTTGAGACACCCTCCGCCCCACCACAGCCCTTCAGCCGCCTCTCTGCCCTGCGCTCAGAACACAGCAGGGCCAGGCCAAGTGGCAGGGGACCCCCTACCTTCAGCTTGGACTGAATCTCTCGAGATTTCCGCCTGGCTAGAACCTGCAAGTGGCTAGAGACCTGTAGAAAGAGAGAGAAAGGGAGAAAAAGAGCAGAAAGGGCAGAAGAGGCAAGAACAGAGCTTCAGCCAGAAAAGAGGCACAGTGGGGCCAGAGAGGCGGCCGCGGCAGAGGCCTGAGCCGTGCAGAGAGAGAGGTGGAGGCGCCGAGGAGGGACTGGAGGCCCTGGTCAGGTGCCCAACGTACCTTGATGCCAACCTGGTACTCCCGCACCTTCTTCCGAGCTAGAACCTGTATGTGGCTGGACACCTAGGGGCCGCCCCGTGCCCCGCCAGAGAGGAAAACACAAGACAGTGAGGAGGCACGGCATGGGGTGGCCGTGGGCAAGGAGCATCCCAGCCCTCGTCTCTGGGAACAAATGGAAGCAAGGGGGAGCTATGGGGCCCTTGTGAAGAGACACTCTAGAGCCCTGCCAATTCTCTGCTCTCTTCTTGGCCCTATTTTGATCAAGAGCCTACAGTAGCCTTCAGTACCACCATGTACAGTTGTATAGGTTGTTCACTGCACAAGAGGATCTAACCCAGTAAGGGCTAAAATCCAGCCCAAGCTCTGCTGCTCAAGTTATGTGCCCTGGTGCTGAGCTGCTTCTAACCCAGAGGAAGGGTATCTTTTTATTTTTCCAAAATGGGTGACTTTTTCCTCACTGATATCCTCAGAAGAGACACCTTTTCTTTTTTTCTTTTTTTTTTTAAGATTTCTTTATTTATTCAAGTAATCCCAACACCCAATGTGGGGCTCGAACTCACAACCCCGAGATTAAAAGTAGCATGCTCGGGGCGCCTGGGTGGCTTAAGTGTCTGCCTTCGGCTCAGGTCATGGTCCCAGGCTCCTGGGATCGAGTCCTGCATCGGGCTCCTTGCTCAGCAGAGAGCCTGCTTCTCCCTCTCCCTCTGCCTGCCCCTCCCCTTGCTTGTGCTCTCTCTCTCTCTCACTACCTCCCTCTCTCTGTGTCAAATAAATAAATAAATAAATAAAATCTTAAAAAAAAAAAAAAGAGTCGCATGCTCTAGTGACTGAGCCAGCCAGGCGCCAGAGACACTTTTCTCTGATCGGCATCACCAATGGCCATAATGCTCGTGCTGGCCATCAGAGCATACATCGGGGCCAGGTCCTCTACAAAAGCGCTCCCCGCACCACTGCCTAAGTCCTCGTGTCACCCCAAAAGCTTGCCAGCCTATCAGACCAGGCCTGGCCCTGTTCCTGTTCTGCTCATTCAGCTTCTTCCCCCAACATGCCTTCCTTCCCCCTGGACTAATATATGGCAGGACACACACACACACACACACAAGGCAGATGCTGTTAATAGCAGTTCTTCTCTAGCACATTGTCAAAGGTCTGACCCTTAAGCCTCAGAGAACCTAAATGTCCCTATTTTCCCCATGAAACAGAAGGGGACACATGGATCCCCGAGGCCGCTTCACACTCATGATCCACAGTGGCTGTGGGCTTTCTTTGCAAGTTGTTTTCATCCCCACAAAGACGCAGTTTCTTTTTCTTTTTAATCATAGACCGAAAGTTACTGTGTATGTGATGCCCTGGAGCCCCCTGCTAGTTGGTTAGGACCCAGGAGGATGTGCCCCATACCGCCTCATCGGGCACCGGAATCAGATGTCTGTCCAGCAAGATCACCCATCACTTCATATCATGACAAGCAGTGACATTTATTGAGTTGCTATGACCGTTCTCAGCATTTTACATGTACCTCTTCTGACCCTTACTAAGAAGTCAGTACTAACATTATCCCTCAAGTTACAGATGAAACCAGCACACAGAGAAGTTAAGCAGTTTATCCAAGGTCACACAGCTGGGGGATGGAGCTGGGATTTGAACCTAGGTGGCCTGACTCCCGAGCCTACTTGCTCCACCACCAAGCTACGCTCCCAGGATTCTTCTGACCCTTAGCACAGAGGACCACTGCCAAATGGCCAAGTCTGTGACAGCTGAAAGTCACATGGGACTTAATCCTAATGTAATATTTAGCTGTTTTTCCAGTATGGAGGCAACGCACTTGCTATTATTGCTGTATGTATCTGTAAAATCCCTAACACTGCATTTCTTTTTAACCAAAAGTAAAATAGAAACCCTTCCCTGTCACCTGGTTGCTCTTTGTACCACATAAAGACATGCTTTGCCCTCACAAACATAGGATGGGTCTGTCTGTCTTACCTACCTACCTACCTACCCAATTTTTCTTAAGGCTTTATTTTTTTAAGTAATCTCTACACCCAGTGTGGGGCTCAAACTCATGACCCTTAGATCAAGAGTCGTCCACTTTACCAACTGAGCCGGCCGGCACCCTGGCTTTCTGTTTATTAAGACATAACAATAATCACAAGGGCAGCGGCACGTTCTTCTATAAGCGCTTACTCTGTTCTACAGTGTCTTCACGTATTAGCTAATTTAATGGCCGAGGACCAGAAGCCGAGGGGCAAAGCACCCCTTGCCCGCAGGGAGGGGTGAGGGTATTTGTACCTGGGGGTTTGACTCGTCAGCCCTCCTCCTACAGTCCCAGGCACCAGGGAACAGGGCCCCTGTCTGTGGGGTTCCCCTGGGTAGCCCCAGTGCCTAGCACACAGTCGTAGCTCAAGGATTCGCTCACTGCGGGGCGCCTGGGCGGCTCAGTCGTTAAGTGACGGCCTTCGGCTCAGGTCATGATCGCAGGGTCCTGGGATCGAGCCCCGCATCGGGCTCCCTGCTCGGCGGGAAGCCTGCTTCTCCGTCTCCCACTCCCCCTACTTGTGTTCCCTCTCTCGCTGTCTCTCTCTCTGTCAAACAAACAAACAAATAAATAAATAGAATTCGCTCACTGAATAAACCTGTCCCACATGAACTGGCCCCAGGAGAGAGGTTCATAAATGCCTGAGCAAATGGGGGAGGCTCCTGCTCCCACACTGAGGGGGTGGACTCAGAACCTGCCTTTGAGACGGCGGGATGGGACACGGCGCCTCTGTCATCTGCACACATGGGGATCTGGGGAGGTGGGTGCAAGGTCCAAACCCCAGCAGACAGGGAGGCTGGGGGAGCCGAGGATCAGAGGCGGCTTCCGGTCCTCCCATCTCTGCGCCCAGCCTGCCTCTCTCCCGGGCACCCCGCACGTCAGCCACCCCAACCAGCCTGCTTTCTGGGTTCCCTCCCGGGACCGGAAGCCGCCCAGTCATCTCTCCATGCTCCCACCGCCGCTGGGGACCTCCGTCCCTGCCTCTGCCCGGCCCTCCCTCATCCATGGCCCAGCTGCTCCAGGGCCAACATTCCTTGACAGATGCCACCCGCCACTCCCTGTTCTAGTTCCTTCCATGGCACCCAGCTGCCCCGAGGGGAAACCTGTCCCTCAGGCCTCGGGCCAACCTCTCTCCCTGTCCTCAGCTCTTCCCACCCCTCTCTCCACCCACCACCCTGCTGACGGATGGCTCTTTCCTGCCCAGTGGGTTCAATCCTGGATCCACCACCTACCAGCTGAGTGACCTTGAGGAAGTTACTTAACTTCCCCCTGCCTCCGTGTTTTCATCTGGAAGACGGAGATAATTATTAGACCTACCTCCTGAGGTTGCTGTGAGGAATACACAGATTCATAGAACGTAAGCCCCGTGTGGGTTCCCAGGGATCCTACGTATGTCCGACTTCCTCGGCCTGCAAGAACCTCTCCCCTTTTCTCTGCCGGGCTAAACCCCGAAGTCCTCCTTAAAAACGCATCTTGGGTGTTAACCTCCTCCAGAAAGCCTTGGCAGCCCCTTCCTGCCTTGCCAACCTGCCGGGTCCAGCTTCGACCCCTGGCCGACAGCACACACTCACCCTCGGCTGGGCCACGCCGCCCTGCTCTGCCCTCGTGGGTCATTGCCACCGGCCGGTCGGGGCGCCACTCCGGGCCATGACCGCGCCAGGCTGCAGGTGCCCCATGGGGCTCACCTCTGGTCACTGAACCCAAGGCCCCGGGCGGGGTGGTGGCTGGTCGCAGAGGGCGGTGCCCCTCTCTCTACGACCGCGGGAAGAGCAGCCCGGGGAGCGTGAGGTCCCTCGGGAGAGGAAGGGGCACAGGGAGGGGCTGAAGGGGGCAGCTGAGGGAGAACGCGCGCGTGGGCAGACGGCATGGAGCACGCATCCTCTCCCCACCTGTTTTCTCGTCCGAGTCTTCCCGGTCCTCAATTTAATGTAGCGTGCAATCAACTCATTTCGACCTGGAGTGGGGTGAGAGAAGGGTGAAGAGTTGGCCAAGGGGGGCACCTGGTGGCTGCAGGCCCCCCACCCCCCGCTGCGAAACACACAGGCCTCTCCCCCAACGCTGCTCTTCTGCCCCCTCTTCACCCCAAGGGGCACCCGCAGGCAGGCGAGGGGTGGTGGGGAGCCCCAGGGCCTGGGGGGCTGCTGGTTGGGAGGAGGTGTGAGCAGGGGGCAGCAGGGTGGGAGGGGACAAGGTCAGGGGGCCCAACAGGTTTCCCGGCACACAGACGGGGCAGGTGTGGCCACGGGGCAGCGGGGCAGCTGGACCGCTCACCCCTGCCCCACCCCTACCCCACTCCTAGCCCCGGCAGCACCTCCTTCCTCCCCGTGCGTGACGCCAGTTCCAAATCTTTAAGTGTAAGCGTGCACGTGTGAGCGAGGCCCGCCGTGGGCGGCACCCGGCCCCGCACACGTCCTCCTGCGCGTCTGGAAGGTGCTTTCCTAACCTAGCTAACCTTGCCACAAGGGGAGACCCTGAACAAGTCCCCTCCCTTCTCTGGCGAAATGGGCAGGAAGGACCCAGTGGTCTCCAGCACCCCCCCCCCCACACGGAGGGCCTGTGTTGGGATATCCCCAAGCCCAACACTGTGTCCCTGAGGCTGTCACCCTCATGTCCCAGGTTACCAGTGTCTCTCCTGCCCTGTGAGATGCTGACAGATGCTGAGCCAATACCTTCTACCCCCCCCAAGTCCAGGCCCCCAGCCCCACAACCCCACAACCTCCCCAGAAGGGCCACATTCTCCGGATTCCTCTTCCATGACAGAACCAGCCCCACTGCTCCTCCCTTCCTGCCTGCCCCTCTCCACCCCACTCCCTCCGCCCTGTCTAAACATACCCTGTGGGGCTGCCCCAGCCATCTGGGAGGTAGCCGTGGGGGAAGCACCCTGGGACATCTGCCTGCCCGGTGCGTGAGGGGGCTCCGGGGCAAGGGGTGGGCGTGGCACAGTGGCTGGGGACAGGCGACACGGCAGCCCTTACCACTTGGCCCAGCTGTCTCCTTCCCGCACCCTGCCATGGTACTGGCCGCTGGGATGGGATGGGCCGAGGGCCTGCCTCACTCAGCCATAGGCTGTCAGGGAGGGTTGGAGGGAGCTGGAAAGGAGCCAGGCCCAGAAGGGTTGAGTTATCCCAAAAATGCAGCTCTGGGAGAGCCCTCTCAGGGCTGGACAAGAGGGGGACACTCCCTTCTGGAGGCAGGAGATGGGCAAGGTAGCAGAGAGCGGGCCAGGAGAGCAGGAGAGACTTGGCGGCGTGGCGGGGGGGTGGGGTGGTTGAAGGGTCTGAGGAATGAAGGAGTCCCCTTGTCTCTCCAGCCCTCTTCCTAACACAGGCCCTTGTCACAGCTCGGCCGTCCCCCCCCCCATACCCATGCACTGGACGGAACTCGCCAGTAGAACACCCCGGGTCTCACCCCTCGGGCTTCCCCACACGTCGGGGGCGGGGGGTGACCCTCTCCCAGGCCTGGCCTGGAGCACCCAGCACTGACCCAGTTTCCTGTGTCCACTGAGTCACCCTGAAACCCGCAGGCCAGCAGGGGGAGGAGAGGAGGAGCAGACGGGGGTGTCGAGGTGTGGGCCCCAATCTGGTGGAGGGGGCAAGCCTGGCTTGTTTATGAGGAGGATCCAGACACACAGGCTCACACGCCCAGACTCGCCCGTGGCGGGCCGGCGGGCTCGCAGGACTTCGCCAAACCGGTTGGGTGAGGGGGCAGAGAGCGGGGGGCGGGGCCTGGGAGGGCCAGGCCGCCTCCCCCAGTCCCGTCCAGGGTCCCCGTGTCTCCCCACACGCACCGTACATCTTGCCCTCGTCTGACAGGATGATTTTGCGGCGGCCGCAGGGCGGGTAGATGGCCAGGGCCTCCTGGAAGCTCTGCTCGATGTCGGGGCTCCACACGCCCTCCGCGTCGTTGTCCAGCCCCTTGTCCAGGCCCTCGGGCCCGTCCTCCCGGGCCTCCCCGGGGCTGCTGCTGGCATTCCAGCTGCTGGACGCTATCGTGCTGGTTGCTCTGGGCTCTGGGCCTGAGCCCACTGGGCAGCCGGAGCCTGCGGGGCAGGCACAGACGGGTTAGGGCCAGGGCTCTCGGAGATCGGAGCCATCTCCCACCCAGGGGCAGGGGCTGGGGGGAGGCGGGGTATGCTTACTCAGTGCTGTGCAGCCTTAAATGAGCTACCTCACCTCTCTGAGCTTCGGTCCCATAAGATGAGGGAAAAGGTCTCCTTGAGGTCGTGAGGGTTAAAATTAAATGAGATCACGACAAAGGACCAACCACAATGCCTGGCTCGTAACACTCAAGACATAGGACCGGTGGTGATCAGTAACAACAATAACACCTCATATCTACAAGGCACTTTTGTGGGCAAAAAGCACGTTCATACTCACTCAATCCTCAAAACTAAGGCAGGGAGGGCGAGGAGTGATACCCATTATTCAGATGGGACACTGAGGTTCACAGTCATGCCGCGATGAGAGGGGCAGGGGGCCTGCTGGGTGTTTCTGCAGTTTCTGCAGCTCTTCCTCCTGCCATCCGCAGCCCCCAACTGGGGACCTTCACCCTCCTCGTTCTCCCCCCAGCCTCAGCGCAACCCTGCTGAAGACCCGCTGTGGGAGGGGAAGGGCCCTGGACCTAGGAAGGGTGTGGTTTTGACTTCCCTAAAAGATAACTCCCAGGAGCGCGGCCAAGGAACCTAAACATGGGGCAGGGACCGCCCCAGGAATCGCAAGGAGGGAGCGATGCTGGTTGGCAAGGGAGCAGCTGAGAAGGTGCCCGGCCCATAGCCTTGCTCAACCCCACCGGCTCCTCCATCCCACTTCCTGTTCCTGCACCTCCCGGCCCCACAGCGGCCCGTAAACCACCCACATGCCTGCCCCTGCCCTGGCCCACATCGCAGATGGGCCAGGACTCTGTAAACTCGGAGTTCCCTGCACACGCCAGGCTGGGTTATTAACTGAGACCACACCCGGCAGTCCCCCCAACACACACAGCTCCAAGGCTCATCCCCAACCCCCTTCAGCCTCAGACTCGGCATGCTCAATGTCCGGGGAGCCTCGGAGCCCAAGATGGCTAGATCCAGAGACTTTGCTCCGGTCTGCAGGGAAAGCTGGGGTGGGGTAGGGGGTAGGTAGGGTGGAGGAGGTGGGAGACCCCGCTGAAGCTGGGGAAGGGAATTCTTTCCCCTCAGACAAGAATTCCGGGCCCTGCCAAACGGGTTGGGGCCCTCTGTGTGGGGCCACCTGTTTGTCTGGGGAGGCTCGAAGAGGGTTGCTAGTGGCATGGGATGGGGAGGGCCGCGGGGGCCCAAACGTCAGATGGAAACAGAGTCAAGGCTATTACTGTAATGAGAGCACCTGCCATATGGCAGGCCCTGTTCTGGGATTCTGTACACGTTGACTCATTTAATCCTCACAATAACCTATGTGGCAGAGACTATTATTAGTCTCACTTTATAGATGGGGAAACCAGAGAACAGAGAGGTTAAGCAACTTGTCAGACACCCAGCTCGGAAGGGCTAGAGCCGGGTTCAGAGCCTGGGCAATCTGGCTTCAGTCTCCTAACCCAGGGGATGAAGCTGAGAAGCCTCACCACCTGGAGTGAGAAAGGAGGCCCAGCTGTCATGGCAACTACCCTGAGCCCGCCCAGTGGGGGTCCAGCCCAGGGGCCTCCCCTCAAGCCCAAGTGGCTGGAGCAGCTTCAAGGACCCCCACAGGGCTGTCGCCCTCGCTGTGAGGCCTCCCAGACCACGAGGAATAGCTCTCCCGCACCAGAGGGCAGCCCAGGCGAGGGGAAGCCGTGCTCCTGACCAGGGAAAAGGGGCCACACTCCTCTACTCCCAGCCCACTCTCCCCCCGCCCCCAGGAAGCTGTAGCCCCATCCCCTCCTCAACTCCTGAGGCCAAGTTCTTGGAATACAGATGTGAGGGGGCAGAGACTCTGGGGGCCCAGTGGCTCCCATATTGAGGTAGTTGAGATGCAGGGCCTCCCCCGAGATCCGACACTGCCCCAGGCTGTCAGAGGGGAGGCAGAAGAGGGGCTACGGTGCTCTAAGACCCCTCCCAACAGAGTCCTCAACCCATGTCCCCCCTCCCCAGTCCTTTCCTGAGGCCTCCCTCAGAGCAGCAGGGGCCCTACGCATGGGGGGCCCTGGCAGCCCCAGACTTTTCAAAGCAACTTCCCGGCCTCCCCCAAGTCCCTGCCCGCCTCCCCTCTTCCAGGCGGTGGCCCCCCCCTTCTCGGGGTGATGTCAGCCCCGCCCCGCCCCCCGCAGGAGCACTGTGGCCAAATATGGCGAACGCAGCAGTGCATGGGAGCTGGGACAGACTGGGGGGGCGGGGCGGCGGCCCCAGGCCGGGACCGCTGGCAGCTGGGCAGGGGGAGGGGAGCCCAGGGGGCGGCTGCAAGGACGAGTCAAGGAGACTAGTGGGACCACCGTCCCTTCCCCTGGCCTGTAGGCACATGCAAGACTCACTTTCTAGGAACACTCCTGCGGGCAGAGGCACCAACACAGGGGCCCACAGGTGACCCCGCCACCCCACACAGCCATGCACAGGAGCCCACGTGTGCAGGTATGCTGTGTGGGTGCCCGGATGAGGGCTTCCGTACCCCGGGGCCCAGGCGCCCCCGTGGGCAGCGGCACCAGGCAGGGGGCTGAGCGGGGGTCCCCACCCCACTGTGGCGCTCAGGAGTCGGCGCTGGCTGCCCTGGTCTTCCCAGTTACTGCTGTGGGACGACCGAGCCTGGTGCGCGCCCACCCTCTTCTCCTGAGACCCTCACACCACGGGGGACCCAGCCTGGGGGCCGCGGGCTCTTCAGACGGCTGCCGGCTGGCCTGGGCGAATGCAGGGTTCGGGCAGCCCCAGCCCGGGGCAGGGCATCATCCTCGCTGTCCAGAACCCCTGTGTGCTGGGCTCTGCCGCTGAGAGCGGTGCCGGGGAGGAGGACCCAAGCGAGGGGCGAGGGGGTGGAGCCTGGGGTGGGCTGAGGAGAGGGGGACAGACCCTGACAGGCAGATAAGAAAACAGACAAGGGAGACAGGAGAGTCCCAGAGAAGAAGAGACAAAGCCCCCACAAAACCTTGGAGTGAGACCCAGAGAAGGAGAGAGCCAGAGAGAGGCAGGCCGACAGAACAGGCAGAGTGAGAGAGAGAGAGAGAGAGAGAGAGTTGGATCCAGAGACGGTTGGGGCAGGAATCATGACTGACAGACCCAGACAGACAGAGACCAAGATCCGGAGAGATGGAGGCACACAGCTGAGGGAGGGGGTAAAAGGGGCAGGAAGGGGGAAGATCAATAAACTCAGAGTCAGGCAGTGGGCGGGCGGGGGGGGGGAGCGAGAGAGTAAGAGATAGAGAGAGAGGGACAGAGAGAGAGAGAGAGAGAGAATGTATGTGCATATGAGCCGACAACAGAGCCCAGAGTTCAGGACAGACCTAGAAGGAAGGGGTGTCAGGGAAGCCATTGCTGGGGGCCAGGGTCAGCCACAACAGGGCCACGCCCAGGACACCTCACTCCTGTCCCATCTGTTCCGCCTCTTCAAGACCACCTCCCATCTCCCTCCACAGAGGCCCGCTATTACCACAGGCTGCCCGCCCCCTGCGGCCCACTCTGCCTCCACCCTCCGTCTGACCAGCCATTCCTGCTTCCCCTCTTTGAGGGCCCTCAGCCTTCTGAGGTCAGAAGGTTCCTCTGGGTGGTGGCAGGGATGGGAGCTAGGAGGCTCGGTGAGCAGGCTTTGGGGCCCCGGGGGGAGATAAGGGGCCTCTCGCTGCCCACTCCCCACCCTGGGGTCAGACTGCTGGAATAACTGGCTGGACAGCTCCGGTGATGGGAGGCCAGTGCTGGGTAACTGCAGAGGCCCTAGGCCCCCGCCCCCCACCCTCAGGCCCTGCAGCCTCCAGACCACCTGGCCCTACTCCTCCCTTCCAAGGGATAGGAGGAGACTGGCCTGACACTTGGGCTTCCCCCGGCCCTCTGCCCTGGATGGGGATGCACACAAGGCCAGTCAAGGTAGGTGGGTGTCGTCCCCAAGTCCCCCTGCTACCCTCCCTTCCGTACCAGCCCCACTGGGAGGACAAACTGAGCCCAGGGACCCTCATGGGTCTAGTGGCCAGCAGCTGTCCACCCCTGCAGGACCACAGCCCCCCAAGTGCTGTCATGTGGAGCCAGAACACCACTCAAAAGGCAGGAAGATTAGTGAAGTCAGCAGTTGCATCCCAAATCTCCCGCCCCCAAACCTGGGCTGGGCTGACCCTCCGGGGGGCAGGGGTGGGGGCTGAGGATGGGGAGGGCAGCTGATGAGGGCTAAGGGAACCTCCCCACCCCCTCTGCCTTTCCCTTCTTCCTTCTCACCCGCCCCCACAGCGGGGCCAGCTGTTCTCCAGCTGCCAGAGGCTCCCACCCTAGAAGTAGCCCTGCTCCGGTTGGGACTGGAGAGGGGGCAGGAGGGGGATGGTATCTGCCTCCAGCATAAGGACCCCCCCGAGGGACCCTGCCAAGTGGCCACACCCTGCCAGGCTGGGGAGGGAGTACCCTCCTCCCTGGAGCAGGGTAGAGATTTGTTACAGGAGGAAGCAATTTGCAGAGCCCACTAGGAGGGAGGTGGGGAGGCCTCCTCCCCTCTCTCCCGCTTATTAATGTGCTTCCAATTTGGGAATCAGGACTCTCTGCACCCACCCACCCCCACTACTCAGGGCACAGGCTTCCTGGGGACCAGAGGGGGCAGGCCGTCCATAGCTCATCCGCACTGTCACCCCCCCGCCCTGCAACCAGTGTTAAGGACAGTGGGAGGTAGAGTCTCGGAGCCCTCAAACCTCCGCAGAAGCAGAGAGACTTCCCTTCGCCCCTACTCTAGGACCCTGTCCTGTCTCATCTTTTTTTTTTTTTTTTTTTAACTCGGTAATCTCTGTGCCCAACGTGGGACTCGAACCCACGACCCCGAGATCAAGAGTGGCACACTCCACCCACTGAGCCAGCCAGGTGTCCCGTCTCCTCTTGTCCCGCTCCAGCGAAGGCCTGGTGTCCAGCTTGGGGGTGGGGGGCGGCAGCCAATGGGCGACTTGGTCAGGTGGGTTTCACAGTTGTCCCCGGACGCGCCCGAGGGTCTTGCCTCAGCGGCCTGTGCCCCGGCCCCTGGTACTCTGCGTCACCCGCTGAGCTGCCACCAGTCATTCGGCCGACACCCCCCCCAACGACTACAAGAGTCACAGTGTCCTCTACAAACACCCAGGCTTCCTCGTGGCGCTCCCCGCTCACACACACACTCCCTTGCCCAGCCACCGTCCTGCACACATCCAGGGTGACCTGCATCCCCATCCTGTTCCTTCTTAAACTTTCTATTGTGGTAACACACACATTACATCCAATTTATCATTTTAACCATTTTTAAGTGCATCATTCAGTGCCGTTAAGTATTTTCCTTCTTTGTTCTTAATGGTTATCTTTTACACCATCCTCCGCATGGACACTCCAGGCATCAGGGTCATGGGCCCCCAAATTTGTCACACACAGTCTCCCGAGCATGCCTGGCCCAGCCCTGATGGCGGCCACCCACACTGTCCTCTGGTCTCAGCAACCGTAGAGAGTGCCCACCCACAGAGGCATCTGGGTCACACCCCACAGGTCCCCCGACGTGCGGGGCTGCACAGGCAGGGCCTGGAGCTCAGGCTCCCCCAATCGGCTTCTCACACAGCTGCTCAGCAGCGTGTCACCATGCTTTCTCCTCACACGCGCCACATACTGTCCTAGTTTTACAGTGTCATGTACAGTTGCACACGCAGCCCATCAGAGTTCCTACAAACCCGAGGCCACCTCATGTGCTGTTCACACACACACACACACACGGTCACACCACAGTACCGTACGTCACGCAGAATGGCACCCGTTCTGCTTCTGACACACGCAGCGTCCAACAATCGCAGTGTCTCTGGCACACGCAGAGCATGTGGATCCCCTCAGAGTCAGACCCAGGCTCAAGCTCCTGGTCTTTCAGAAATCATGTCCCCTGCGATGGCCACTCACATACAGACCATGTGTACAGCTTCTTTCACTCGCTCACTCACACACTCACACTCACACACACACACACACAGGACGTCACTCATGGTGGCTCCCACGTACATACAGTATCGGTCACACACATCGGTGTTATAAAGTCACGGGCAGTGTCAGTTTCTCTCCTGTGCAAGTCCAGCCTCACATGCAGTTACACAAACTGGTTTTAGCTGGTTCTGTCACACACGCACCCCCCCACACACGCAGTGTCACCCACGCAGAATGTCCCACTCAGTTTCTGTCTCACACACGTCCAGCGTCACACACGGTTGTACTCTCATTTCCCTCTATCACTTCCTGTCCTTTTGGGCCTGGCAGGGAGCACAGGAAACAATCAGCACTCTAGGAAACCTCAAGGGCTGACTGTGGGGACCTGTGCAGGGACAGGGATTCTCTGGCCTCCAGCCTCCTGTGGGACCCTGCGAGGACAGGTGAAGTCCGTCCCCCTCTCGGGTTCTCCCCTGAGGGGCAGCACCTCTCCTGCAGACAAGCCCAGGCTGGCACAACACCAGGACAGAGGTGAGGGCAGGGCAAGGCCTTGAGGATGGGGCTGAGTGTGATCTGCTGACCTCTGACCACAGAGGCTCCTGCCATGGCCCCAGGGCTGCCCCAGACGCCCATGGAGACCTGGACCCCACAGCTTCAGCAGCCCCCACGTGGGAAGAGACCGTGGCCTCCTAGCTACCACCACAGAAAGTTGCAACATTTAGAGTCCTCACGGCTCCCCAGCAACCTGGGGTCTGGCACCCCAGATCCCTTCCCCACTCTCCTCACCGTGGGTGGACCCCTCCGCTCCTCATCCCTTCCTAAGTGAGGAGGTGGACAGGACTGATAGCTTCGGTTCCCTTCCAGCTTCCACACTGAGCCCTTTGGGGGGTCTGGGAGTCAGGCAGAGGGGCAGGCCATCCACGTGAGCTCTCAACACAATTCACCGCGGCCAGCCTTGCCAGACCCCAGGGCCACTTCAGAGGGCAAGTTCCCCGAGCTCCACCTGGCTTCCCTGTCCCTTGACGCCTGCTGCCTGCTGCCTGCTGCCTGCAACCTCTTCAGCCACACTCTCCGGGCTAACATACTCCTCAGTCACCCCCTGGTTCGTCCTCACGTTCTTCCTTAGATCACTGATCACCCACTCACCTCTCCAGACCTCACCAGGTTCACAGTCCGTAATGGAAGGAGGAAGGCCCACTGACTAGAAGACTGAGACTCTGGAAGGAGCTCAGAGACAAGGGACCCAAGAAGTCATTTATTCTGAGCAGGGAAACTGAGGCTCAAGATGACACAGGTGGTTAAAGGCCCAGCTGGGACCAGATCTCTTATTTCTTGACCTCCTCTTTGAGATGTCCCCTTCTGGTTCTAATATTTCCTCAACTGGCAGAATACAAAGGGTCCACAATCCTGAGCGTGAGGGTGGGAGCACAGAGACAGAGATATGGGGACACGGACACACACACACACACACACACACACACACACACACACACACACAGCTCTGTCCTGCCAATCACTGACCATCCTACTGAGCCAGTCCCCAGCCCCAGTGCACTAATTAGCATTAATTATTGTTCCCTCCCTAGGGGGGTGGGGGAAGGCTCATGAAGTTGAGAATTCCATTGGCTCTTAGCCTCTCCCTGAGGAGGGGGCATCCAGGGCCCCTGAAGTCACCCTCACCAGCCAGCCTGTTCCTGGAAGACACATCTGTCCATTCCCTGCCCACAGGGTGAGCAGGGATCCAGAAGACTGCAGAACCATGTCCTGGAATGACACCCTCCTGGGCGAGGGTCTTGGAAAAGGAGCTACAAGAATCTGGAAGGGAGGAGCACATAATCCCCCTAAATGTCCAACTTGGAGGGGACTTTGGATTTCCTCTTTGCCCCAGGCTGCCCCTGACATTCTAGCCAAGGAGGTGTCCCGGCCCCCTGCACTGGGGTGAAACATGTATGCACAGAACCAGGCCACAGGACACAGGATACACAGAGCCGCCATGGGTTCCAGCCCCTAAAGCTGTGTCCAGTCCCTACCCCCATCCCCTGCTTTCCTGGACTACAAGTCCAGGCCTGACCTGGTTCTGCCTCTACCTGGAGAGAGAGAAAGCACAGAGGGTGGTGCCCCCTGAGAAGCCCTCCCCCAAGGCCTCATTCCCTCTTGTCCAGAAAGAATCTCTGAGCCCTGGAACAGGCCACTCTCCCAAAAAGGTGAGAGTGGGGTCTCAATGACACTGCCCTGGGGCCTGGCTAGCTGAAAACCAGATGCAGACAGGCACTCCTGGCCCTCCCTCCCCAGGCAGGAGTAAAGGGCATGACAGACAATAGTGGTGGTGGTGGTAGTGGTGGGGACAAGCCTCCTTTAAACCCTCTAAAGTCTAAACAAGGGCTCTAAGGAAGTGTAGCGAAAATAAGGCCCCAAAGCCAGCCCTCTTTGGAGCCAGGCTCCTAGAGCCCTGGTCTGGAACTCCAAACCTCCACCCCAACAGAGGCGGCATAACTGGAAGGAGCTTAAGCCCCTGCCTCTCAGGGGGCACACGCCCAGGGCGCGCAGCTCTGCTCCCAGACACACTCCACAATCCAGCGCAGCCACAGGCACCGCGCGCTGGAGCCGGCCTGGGCGCCGGGAGGCCGGGCCCGAGGCCTGCGTGGAGCTGGGGCCGGGCCGGCTTCGAGAGCTAGCGAGCCGGGAGTCCAAAGGGCGGCGGGGCCCGGGACTGGGAGTCCCGGGGAGGATTTCCCCGGTGGCAGGGCCCCGAAACCGTGCGGCCCCCAGACCCCTGCCTCGACACCCCAAAAGCGTAAGTTGGGACAGGCGATGGCACCGGGGACAATCTCCCGGCTCCCCGACCTCCCCCGACCAACTCGTCCGGGTCGCGGGGGGGGGGGGGGGGGGGGGCGGGGCTTCCCGGAGAGCTTTTCCCCCCCCTTCCCTCTAAACTTCCCGGCACCCAGATCTGGGGCTCAGGCTCAAGCTGGACAATAGCTCGGGGACCCAGCCCCCCTCGAGGGCCCCCCCCCCAATCCAGAACCAGCCAACCAAACCACCTCTCCCAGCAGGGCCTCCTCCCGGCGTCCGCCCGGCTTACCTGGTCCGAGCTCGGGGGGGCGCTCCGGCCGGGCCGCTCCGCCGGGCCCGAGGAGCTGAGAGGGGGGCCGGGGAAGGGGGGTCTTGGGGAGGGGGCTGGCCGGAATGTGCGGAATGAGCCGGGCTGGAGCGGGAGGCGCCGGGCGCGGAGGAGGGAGCGAGCGGGACGGAAAGTTTGTGTTGAGGAGCCGGGGCGGGGGGTGGGGGCTGAGGGGAAGGAGGGGGCGGGGCGCGCAGGGGGGCGGGCACCGGCCGGGAGGGGCGGGGCCGCGCGGGGCCTCCCCCAGTCGGCGCTTGGGCTGCCCACCCCGCGGCTTCGCGAACCGCGGCTGCTCCCGGCCTTCCCGCGCCTAGGCGCTCCCCTCCTCGCCTGCCTGTGCCACGCTCCCAACCGCTCCCTGCACGCCGGGCCTTTCTCCACCCCTCCAGGACCCCACCGCAATTTGGGGCTCAGGCCTGGGCGGGCCCGAGGGCGGAGCTCCCGCCTAGCCGGCTGGATTCCCGTCGGGGTGCCGCGTCACGAGGAGCCCCGCGGAGCCGGAGCGCACGGGCCTTGGGGCTCCCTACCCACACCCCCCCCACCCCAGTCCCGAGCCGCCGAGGCGGAGCGCCCTTTCGCGCCCGAGAGCCCGCCCCCAACTCCCGGGGCCCCAGACCCCGCCCCGCCCTGGCGACTGCGCCCGCCCTGCCCGGACCCGGTTTGTCTGGTTCTCCCCGAGAGGCTTGTTTCTCGAATTTCTCCCTTTCCCCTCTTCCCGGACCTCCGGGGCCCTCCCTCTCGGCCCGGGGCCCCCGCGGGGGGCGTCTCGACACCACGAGCCCGCCGAGTTTCGGTAGGACCCGCGCTGGGCGCGGGGGAGGGGACGCGGGAGCGCCCCGGGCCTGGGCGGGAGCGGGGTTGGGGGTTGGGGAGGCAGGCCTCCAGCCCGCCCTCCGGACCTCTCCCGCGCTCCGGACCCCTCCCGCCGCCTCGTTCTCGGCACGCGCTGAAGAACCACTGCTTGCCGGGTCTGGGACGCGGCTTTATTGGGGTCTTCTTCCCGCATCACCTACCCCCTCTTCCGAGCCCAACCCCACTCCTCGATCCCGGAGGGGGTTAAAACAACACTGACTACTGCTCCTGGACAGGAAGTGACTGGGGCGCGGGGCGGGGAAGGGGGCCGGTTGGTGAAGCGGCTCAGGCTAGCTCCGCGACCAGATGTGCGGCTGCCGACTCCAGATGTTCTTCATCTCTGTGGGACCGCAGTCTGAGCTCCTCCCCTGCCTCGGCCTGTGCGGGGCTGGGGAGTGGATGGAGGTCATTCGGAGACAGTGAGGGGTCAGCCCCGGACAAGAGAGGAGTCTTCAGTGGGGGCTTTGGCGAATGGACCCTGCAAGCCTCCACTGAATCCTTTCCCCCACCCTTGGCGGGCGCCGGGGGCTACTGAGGTCACTCGCAGGCCAGCTTCCCGTCGAAACTGGAGAGGGCGATGGCGAAGGCCTGCAAGGCGCACAGCGGGTACCGGTAATCTAGGGTGAAGGCGTCCTCGGCCACGCGCCCGAACTGCAGTACGATGTAGTCGGCTATAGACACAGACCGGTGGGGGGGGGGGCAAGATCTCCTGGGGTCCCAGTCCTGGCAGACAGTGACCTCAACTTTGGGAGAAGTCTCCCTCCTTTGCATTGGGGCCCTAATCCTCAGCTACCATCTCAATTATTCACCCTCCACCCATCCACCCCTTCTTATCTGGCCCAACTGGCCCCACCTGACGCTTGACCAGCCTTCTGACTGACTGTAAGCCCCTGAGGGCAGGGATCCTGCCTTATCTTCTGCCACCCAGGGCTATGTGTAGGACAGGCACTTAAATATAGGAACCTGTCACGCTTCCCCCAGCCTCGAATCCTTTTCCAATGGCTCTGGCGTCATTCCTTCTTCCCATCCCCAGCCCCCAAGTCCCATCTTAGACTGCCAGGCTCTCTCCCTTCACTAGCCCCCCGAGTCCCTACCTTATCGAGTGGCTCCACTCAGCCCCATCCCCTATCTGGTCCAGGTTCCCAGCCCCAGTCCCAAACACCTCCCCCAGCATCCATAGGGACAGGAAGTTGCTAAAAATACCCCTGATCTCGGCAGACCAGGCTCCACCAGAAATGTGATCTGGAGAGCAGTTTTCCAAGGCCTTGGGACAGGTGACACTGGGGACACATCCCTAGGATGGAGTGGGGGATGGAGAAGTTGCTCAGTGTCAGCCAATCCTGGGAACCCGGAGTCCCTTGGAAGGTATCTTTCCATCCCAAACTTCCTCACCCTAGTGGGAACCTCTCCCCCGGCCTATTAACAGGGACATTTTTACTTAATTGTGTTCTGGGCGTATCTTGTTTCCCTAACTCCTTGAGGGCAGGCCTTTGACCTTACTTGAGAGAGGACAATAGAGCAGGCAATGAGAGATGCTTGATTAATATTCCCTAGCCCTGCAAGGCGGCCATCTTGAAGGGGTTGGGAGCTGGGGCCCTGGAGCCAGACCACCTGGGTTCTTGTGCCAACTCTACCTCTTACAGCTGTACTACCTTGGGCAATTTACTTAACCTCTCTATGCCTCAGTTTTCTCATCTGCCAAGTAGGGACAATAATAATAATACCTTCCTCAGGTTTTGGAGGGGCAGGGTTGTTGCAAAGATTTAATGATTCAGTATCTGTAAAGTTCAGAGGACAGTGCCTAGCACCTAGAAAGCCCTGTGTGTCTGTGAAATAAATTTTGATGGCCAGTGGGACCTCCTGGAGTCGCTGAGAGACTTTGGGGAAGGCGCCGCCCTCTCTGAGCCTCAGCAGCCTCTTTGACCGCGTAGAGGTTGGGCTATCAGTGGTTCTCAAGCTCCAGCAGATTAACTCTCCCTTCAACACAGTCTTACCCAGATATCCCAGTATCTACCCCTGGCTCCGGTCAATGCTAGAAAGAAGGCCTGGGACAGTAACCCCCGAGACACCTGCTTGGAATACCTGAGGCTCCTGGGAACAAGCTGTCAATGCTCCTGCAGGAGGGAGTGACTTTCCTGGATGTTCTGGCTCCAGTGAGAAAGGACAGCTTTGTGCACGTGTGTGTGTGTGTGTGTGCGCACGTGTGTGTGAAAAGAGAGAGAGAGGTGGTGGGGAAAGGCCTGAGGGAGGGTCAGTGTCCTGGAGGTGGTGGGGAACAGCCCGGCTTGGGCCCTCAAATACTCACGGTCATCGGCGTGGACTATTTGGAAGTTCTTGACTGAAGCTTGTGTGACTCGACCTTGGAAGTTGAGGGTGTAGGAGCCGCTGTCTTCGTTCCAAACAGGTGGCTTGTTGTGCAGCTCGATGAGGCTCTCCAGTGTTTTGTTCTGCCAGCGCACCAGCAACCCATCGCTGGCCTGGGGTGCCAAAGGGGAGTGTTAGGGAGAGGACAGTTAGGGGTGGCTGAGATATCTCAGGACCGAGGGGAAGGGGCCTGGGGACCTGTGCATGCCTTTGCATGTGTGTGCTAGTGTGCAGCCTGGACACGGACATCCATTCGGGGCATCCTTGACCAAGGACCAAGCAGCTTGGTCTCTGTGGTATCCGTGTGGGCAGGGTGGAGCTCTGTGAGAATGGGTCTCTCCGTGGGACGCCAAAGTGGAGGGTTGGGAAGTAGCATCTGGCACACAGTAGGTGCTCTGTGCCCTTGGCACCCAAGGGGTCCTCGGAACAGCCACATGCTGGCACCTGATCATAAGGATGCACCAGACATGCTGTGATTGACATGGAGCTCGCAGTTGTGTTTGAGGAGACGGACAGGTAAACAGTGGTTAAAATAAGATGTCCCAGAAGAGAGTTTCTCAGAGGAAGGAGTGATGCCTATGTGATAGCGCTCTTGAGATACTTCTTTCCTGAGTTCCCTTGGCACTGGTCACATTCGTGGCTTAGAGTGAGTCTGCACAAGATCATGTCCTCTGAGAAGCCTCCCTGATCCCATGTCTGATTTAGACGTCTTAGCTCGGAGTCTCCCTCCATAACACCTGCTCTTACTATTTCTCCCACTACACTGTAATGGGCAGAATTAGATACTTAAAGGGCAGCTATTGTATTTTATTGACGGCTCTGTGCCTCAGTTTCCTTCACAACAGGGTCTTGTGAGGATTAAAGCAGTTAATAGTGCATGGCATGTTATTCAGATCAGTTCCTGGCCCAGCATACATGCTCAATAAATGTCGGATTGTTCTGATGGTTCCTGTTTGCTGATTTTGGATCTTCAGTGCCTGGCTTTAATGAACGACTGTAGAATGAATGGACGGTGAAATGATGAAGAGTTACCCGGAGCAGCCCTGGGGAGTTCTCACCAAGCCCAGACACACTCGGGAGGCCCTGCCTCTAGAGCATTTGCGTGTTTAGTCTGGGCCTGGAAGGAGCAGCTGTGGGACCCACGGCTCCTCGAGTCTAACAGCCTTCCGTGCCTCAAGCCCCGCGGGTTGGCCAGGCCTCTGATTATGGTGTGACTTGCCAGCATGGAAGGATGTGTGATCAGCTGACAGGTGTTATTTTTCCTTGTAAATGAGTAAAGTGACATCACTGAGGGTATGGAGCACACCAGTCTTCCTGTCTCTGCAGTCCCAGGCTCACTGACCTGTGGCGCGAGCGACCGACACTGAAGGAGGCCACCTCTCCCCGCCCATCTCTCCGTCTTACCCTAGACCTCACACACACACACACACACACACACACACAAGCAACCTTTGCTTTTTAAAATAGAAGGCAAATCAAGTCACTCCTGAGAACCCTGCTGTGGCTTCCTGTTTCTCTGAGTACAAACCAGTTATACAGGCCCTATCTGAGACTCAACTCACCTCTTACGGCAAACCCACCCACCGGGCATCATCCTGCCTCAGGGCATTTGCACTGGCTCTTCCCTCTGCCTGGATGCTCTTTCCCTAGATATCTGTAGGCTTGCTCCCTCACCTCCTTCATGTCTTTGCTTAAACGTCACCTTCTCAATGAGGCCCACTCCGACTTTTTCTTTCTTCCATACCACTTGTCACTTTCTAACATTCTACACAATTTACTTATTTGTCACAATTGTCTACAGTCCGTCTCCTCCGCTAGAATGTCAGCTTCAGGAGGGCAGATCTTTTTTACTCACTGATGTCTTCCAGTTGCCTAGAATAATACTCAGCACTCATACGCTGAATGTGTATAGTAAAATATATACAATATACAATTCATTCAGTGAAGGAATATATGATTGGATGATTTGGTGTACACTGGGAAAAAAAAAAACACCTCATTGTATTGGTTTCAAGTGAATTCAATTACAAAACCCCCTATTTCATCCCATGAGTTTCCAGAATGAATTTGTGACACAGGATGATGAATGTGCCCAGGAAGTTGGGTATGGGCAACCTGAGCCCCTGTCCCTCAGCTCCCCAGGAGTGGGTCATGAATGGATCACATGGGAACAGGACCCTCAGGGGGAGGCGTCAGGGAGGTGCTGGGCTCACATTTCGCGGCCGGATGGGGACCCTCTCGTTGTCCGTATTCATGCCAGGAATGATGACCGTCATGCGCCGGGGACCCCGGAAGCCCAGCACGTTGGTTTCCTGGGAGGGAGATACCTGTTAGGCCGGTCCCTGCGAAGGGGAGGGTGCTGTCGGGGGTGGGGGGGGCGCTGGGGGGTGTTCTCACATAGATCACAGCTGCCAGTTCCTGCCGAAGGCTCCCCACGTTAGTGCTGCCTCCTCCACGGTGCGGGTTCTGCCCGTTGTCAAAGACGGTAAAGCGGTTGCCCAGGAGATTGGACCTGCAAGCAGGGTAGAGCTGGGGGCAAGGCTGGGGGCATTCCACAGCCCTGCTCCAAGACCCTTCCTCATAGCCAGGCAGTTTGGAGAGCTTCCTATGTCAAGGGTGTGGGTGTTCTGTCCTAAGACAGAACAACCCTTGTCCCCTGCCCCAGGCACCCTTCATGAGGTCTTTTTAGAAGCTGGATCTGGAAGGACACTAGGCAACCTTCAGATCTCAGCTCTATCTCTTACTGACCCTAGGCAGGCTGAACTCTCTGAGCCTCAACATCCCCCTCTGTAAAATGGGCCTAATAACAGTATTTACCACTTGGTCAATAAGGGGACTACATGGATTCATATTTGGAAGTTAGAACAATGCCTGACCCATAGACAGGCCTTACGTAAGTGTTTGTTAAATACATAAATATAAGAAATAAGGCCTGACTCGGGGGTCCCCCTTCCCCTTACCTCTCAGATGCGCAGTGAGGATTAGATGAGATATACGGGGAGACACAGCACAGGGGAGATGCTCGATATTTGTTTATTCATTCACTTAGTAAATGTTTTTTTTGAGTCGCTATTATGTACCAGGTGCTGGGAATTCAACCATGAATGAGACAGGCATGGTCCCTGTCCTCATGGACCCTTATGACCTATGTCAAGTGAGGTCCCTGGTCCAGCAGCACGGGCATCACCCGGGGGCTTGTTAGAAATGAAGACCCTTGCCCCACACCCAGACCCACTGGGCCATTTTAACAACGCTTCCAAGTGATCTGTGCACATTCAAGTGTGGGAAGCCCTGGGGCAGGGGACATTTCTAGAGTGCCCGATGTGGTGGACACTGCCAGGCAGAGGGAGACGGAAGTGACTCTCCATGGTCTCTTGCGGCCCTGGGCCTCCCAGCCCCACCTCAGCTTCCCAATGAAATTCTCCCCTCCTCGGGACAGATTGGTGGGGTCGCTGGAGATGAGGTAATTGGCCGTCTTGCTACGTTTCCGCTTCCTGCCTGCCAGGAGGAACACCTGGGGAGAGGGGGAGACGGGTGAAGGAAGGAGGTGAGTGAGGGGAAAGGCAAGGCCTGTTTGCTTCGGACTCCACCCGCCCCCACCCCACCCCCCATTTTGGCTCTAGCCCTCCCCTTCCAGCCTGGATCCTGGCACCTGCACTCTCTCTCGCCTGCTGCCTCTCCCCTACCCACCTTCTTCTCTGTGTCCAGGTGCAGGAAGTAGGAGGGATACAAGCCCCGATCCATGCCCTTCTTGTCCCGGGTCAGCCTGCAGCGCACTGTCCGGTGCTGAGGGGCAGGCCGGAGCACAAACTCCTGGGGTTCATCCACTTCTACGGGTGGGGATGGGGCTCTCTCCTCCTTCTGAGTCGGGGCAGAGCGTGTATCAGCCCTGGAGCCCTGGCTCCTCCGCCCTTGGCAGATCCCCAGTGCCGGCACACAGGGCAGGCAGGACAACTCACCGCTTTCTGTGCGGGAAGAGAACGGACAGGCCAGCTACAGTGGGCTGGGCCCCTCGCTCCCCCCACGGCGCAGCAGGCCCGTGCTAGGCAGCTCTGTGGAGCTTGGTGCTTTATTATTATTTTGCTTCGCTTTGTGGTTAAGAGCCTGGGATCTGGAGCCAGACAGCTTGGGTTCAAATCCTGGTTCCAGTGCTAACTCTGTCATGTTTAACTTGAACCACCCGGTGACTCAGTTTTCTCATCTGAGAAATGCAGAGGTTGGGGCTGGATTCCCCGGGAGAGACCTTACTTAATTTACATATTTAACAAACACTCATAAAGCCTACCAATGGGCCGGGCATCGCTCTAAGTATCTTCCAAATATTACCTAATTTAATTCTCTGAGGTAACTACTGAAGTAATTGTCCAATTTTACTGAAGAAGTTGAGGCTCAGAGAGGTTAAGCAACTTGCCCAAGTTCACACAGCTAGTAAGAAGTGGAACTGGGCTTAAAATGGTGCCAGAGCCAGAGCCTTAGAAAGACCTTCCTTCGTGTGGACACTGTGTCAACAGGTGAACTGAGGTGGGGCCAAAGGTATGAACTGCTGTGTTAAAGAAGTATTAGCTACTGCTATTATTACAGTGTATGGTAAATATCAATGACTGTAGTAGCCAACCTCTTAGATGAGCCCCAGTGATCCCTGCCTCCTGGTATTTACACCTTGTGTGGTCTCCTTCCACATCGTATCAGAGTTTGGTCTTTCTGACCCATGCAATATAGCCCAAGTGATGGGGGGAGGGGTCACTTCTAAGGCCAGGTCATAAGAGATATTGTGGCTTCTCCTTGCTGTCTCCCTTGGGCCACTCTTGAGCCCTGGGGGAAGTAGGCTGCCATGTCATTAGACCACTCAAGCCGCCCTATGGAGAGGGCTCCAGCCAACAACCATGACAGTGAACCATTCTAGAAGCGAATCCTCTATTTCCAGCCAAGCTTTCCGAGTGACTGCAGACCCAACTGACGTCTCGACTGCATTCTCGGAACAGACCCCGAGCCAGAAGTACCTTGCTAGGCCCCTCCTAGATTCCTGACTTGGAGAAACTAAGGAAATGTTTGTTGTTTTAAGGCACTAAGTTTTGGGGGTAGTTTGTCAGACTGCAATACCGAGGTAAGACAATGAATGAATAAATAAGCTTATCTTGCTCGTGGAAAAACTCCGAATCACAGTTTGGTTGCATTCCACACTAGGTGGCCTAGGCCTGACCTGGTGACCCCACAGCTGCCCCTTTGGATCTGGTGCCCTCTGCCCTCATGTTCTATCCCTCCTAAGAGGGGGAAGCCAAGATCGTAACCCCAACTTTCCCACTAGGGAAGAGAGGGGACTGCCAGCCTGGGTGTGTGCTATATGAGAGCTACAAAGAATCCCTGATACGCTGCAGTTGGCCATTTTTGCTGAGGGCAGGTTTGGACTGCATGTGAGGTGAGGCTGGTGCTGGCGAGCAGGCCCTTAGCCTGCGGGCAAAGGAGCATCTCTTCTCCACTCCGGGCTGCTCCAGAAGAAACTTGGGAAACACAAGACTATGTTTGGAATGTGATGTGGAGAAAGCCAGAGCTTATTCAAACATTTCCACGGCTGTAAATTTCTAGGGCCTACTGTATTGAAGGTGGCACTGCGGTTACATTCCGCGTGGGAGATAAGAAACTGGCCTTTAGTTTATATATCGGTATTTGGTGATGTTGGCAAATGTGAGTCAGTCCCCCCAAGACCTGACCACTCCTGAACAAACTAATAAACCCACATGGCTCAGACCCCGGCTCTGCCCTCAGGGTGATCTCTTCACTTGTGGAAACCAATTTCTCAGAAAGACTTTCATCACTTTCTCTCTCCAGTTAGGCCCCCTCTCCTGCTTACCCCAGCTTGTGCATGTTGGTGCCTGAGTCCTATTTGTGAGGAAGAGCAATATTCAAAATAGTTAACAACCTGTTCTGCCCCTGGAGACTCTCTGGTCTGTCCGAATGGACCCTGGTGGGCCTGGAGGAGGGTTCTGGAGGCACCTGTCTGCCAGTGTTAACTCTTCAGCTGCCGGAAGGTTGGGCCATCCCAGATTCGGTAGCAGAAAGCACTTGGGGCCCCAGACCAGTAGCGTGAAAATCTTTTAACAACTCACACAGTCAGTGAGTACACTCTGCCTGCGTGTTCTCCCTCTCCGGTACAGAAGATGGGTGCCTCTTCGCGTGGCAGCTTTGTGAGCATCTCTGGCTGGGGCTGCTGGTTAGGCCGCAGAGGGGAGGGCTTAGAGCCCAGATAACATCAGGCCTGCAGGGAGCCAATCCCGGCCTAGTGACCCCCTCAACCGCCTTCTCTGTTCTCACAAGTCTGGTGCCCTTTGTCCTCCTATCCTGTCATCAGAGAGGGAGCCAAGATTCTAACCCCCGGCCCCCCTCTCCCCACAAGGTTCCATACTCTAGTCCCCCAAGCCCAGGCCCCTGCCCCGCTCCCTGAAGGGGCCTCGTCCCCCTTCCCCTCCGGATCCCAACCTTTTTGCCTTTTCCTTTCGCTTTGCCCTTCTGGTTGCTGTTCTTCGTCCCCACGGCTGCCACTTCCTCCTCCTCCTGGTCCTCCTTCCTCTGCTCTTCTGGGCCTTTGGAAGCGCCTGGCACGGAGGGGGTACAAGCCTGTGAATCCCTGACCCTGTGGAGCACTTCGAACACCCATGTCTTACTTGGACCCTCCCCACAACTGCAGGAGAGTACTCCCATATTACTATGATCAGAGACTCAGAAAGGCTCACGTACCTGCCTGAGGCCACACAGCTATTTAAGTGGGGAGCAAGATGCCCCTCAAGCCTTCTGACTCCAGAGCCCTCTCCTCACCCTACACAGCACTTGGGTTCCCCACCCCCAGGACGGCTTCTAGACGTCATGGCACCAGAGGCCACGGCCACCCACCTTTCTTCTTCGGAGTTCTCTCAGCTGGCGCTTCTTCCCCAACCAGAAACATGGCCGCTGGAGTCTTCTTTCTCACCCTGGCGGGGCTCCCTGAGGGGTCCTTGTCAGCCTCCCCAGACCCTGTGTGGGTGGATGTGCAGGAGTCACACGCCACCACACCCAGAGTCCCCTGTTCCTCCAGAGACCAGTCTCACCTTCCTTCTTCGTCTTTCTCATCTTGGGCCCCTCCCCCGCTGGCGCCTCCTTCTTCTTAACGCGCAGAGGTTTGGCTGGGGCGACAGGGCTTCCCGAGTCCCCTGGAAATGGAGGTAGGGGTTAGACAGAGAAGAGCCTGTTGGGGCTGAAGGCCACTTTCCAACCCACTCATCATTTCTTCAGTCCCCAGGGAGGCTGAAGACCTGACAAGGGCCCAGTCTGTCTTCTGCTCGTTGCGGTTTATTTTATTTTATTTTATTTTATTTATTTTATTTTATTTTATTTTTAAGATTTTATTTATTTATTTGAGAGAGAGAGAGAGAATGAGAAAGAGAGAGAGCACATGAGACGGGTGAGGGTCAGAAGGAGAAGCAGATTCCCCAAAGAGCAGGGAGACCGATGCGGGACTCGATCCCGGGACTCCAGGATCATGACCTGAGCCGAAGGCAGTCAGTCGCTCAACCAGTTGAGCCACCCAGGCGCCCTGCTTGTTGCATTTTAATCCTGAGTCCATAAAGGGCTGGACAAACACCAGCAGCTTAATAGGCATTACAGAATGAATGAATGAATGAATGAATGAATGAATGAATGAATGAATGCCGGGCCTTCTAACTGAGCCTCTTAATTCCTAGCTCCCACCCCATCTTCCCAGAAAACCACCTCTGGCAGGTGCTACAGACAGCGTTCTCTCCGTCCCACAGAGGCCCAGGGTCTCAGATCCTGTATTTATCTTTATTTTTCATAAAAATAAAGTGGGTTGTTTTGGTTCAAAGAGAAGGCCGGAGAAAGACAGAGAGCCATGATAGCATTTATTTCATTGACTGATTTTTAACCATAATGGCTTTGATACTTTTATGAAAATTATAACAATAATACATATTGAGTTAAAAAAAAAAAACCCACTAAAAAAATCACTAAACTAAAATCCTCTGTCCTACCTGGCTCACAGAGCTCCCTGGACAGGCAGTGGTGGGGATGGTGGGGGGTGGGGGGGGCACATATTGATCTGTGTACTTAAGGACCGTCATGGGGAAGACACCAGAGAAAGACACCCTTGCGTCCAGGCACTGGTAACTTTCTGATGGCTCAGCTCTCGCCGATCACTGAGGCCTTCCAGCCCCTGAAGGACAGGGCTAGTTTTCCGAGTCTGTGTGGTCCCTCTGTACCTTCAACACTCACCCTTCTGAACCTGGGCCTTAGCCTTCCTGTCCTTGACCCCGGCAGAAGTCTTCTCTTTAGGAACCTTCTTGGGTGGCAGAGGGATTTTCTCTTTCTTTGCCTCCACCTCCTCTTCCTCTTCGTGGTCCTCCTTGGGTTCCTCTTCATCCTCTGTGGGGAGAAGCTCCTCATAATGGGGGCCAGCGTGGGCCCCGTTATCTGGAAGCCCGGCCCCCCCAGATTGCTGGGAAGTGGTAAATGAGAGGGGGGTGGGAGGCTCCCCTTCTGGAACAGGAACAAGAGGAGAAACACAGTTCTGGCACCTTCCTCAAACCCTGGAGGTGATTCCGAGGTGATTCCAAGGTGTTCGGGGAAGTGAGCTGGGGTTGGGGGGATGCCAGGGGCTTGGCAATCCTGTTCTGGGGGAAATGCCCTTCTCTGTAGGGCCCTACCGCCCCCCCCCCCGGGGACCCTTACCTCCTCACACACTCCTGCCTGTCTTGCAGTCCCCCCACCCCTCATCACCGCACCTGCGCTGTTTCTCCCCCTCAGCTTCTTCTTCTTTTTTTTTTTTAAGATTGTTTTAGTTATTTGACACAGAAAGACACAGCGAGAGAGGGAACACAAGCAGGTGGAGCGGGAGAGGGAGAAGCCGGCTTCCCGCCGAGCAGGGAGCCCGATGCGGGGCTCGATGCGGGGCTCGATGCGGGGCTCGATCCCAGGACCCCGGGATCATGACCTGAGCCGAAGGCAGATGCTTAACGACTGAGGCCCCCAGGCGCCCCTCTCCCCCTCCGCATCTTCCTGGCCTTGTCGGTTGCTGACCTCCAGCCTGACCCATCTGGGCTACCTCTGGCCCCTAGCTGTAGTTGAAGGCAAAACTCTTAACCGCTCCGTGCCTCAGTTTCCCCATCCGGAAAACGGAGTAAAGAACAAGAGAATAAAGTGGGTTGTTTTGGTTCAAAGAGAAGGCCGGAGAAAGAGAGGCTCTTTTCCCGAGTTTTCCGTCTCCCTGTCGCGGTTCCCGTGCGGGCCCTTCGCGCCTTCTTTCCAGCGCCCCCCTCCCGCCCTCCCCCAGCCCAGCCCCGGCCCCGTCTCACCGTCCACTGCGTCCGGGGCTCGCGCTACCAGGAAGGTTTCCCGCGGGTCGCGCTTGGCCTCAGGGTCCCTGAGGAACTTGGCGTAGACCGTGTGCGGCGGCCGGGCCTCCCGCGGCTGCGAAGCCGGCTCCTCCCGCGGCTTCCCCCTCCGCCCGGCTGAGCCGAGAGGCTGGGGTCAGGCAGGGCCCGAACCCCCGCTCCGACGGCGCCTGAGCCCCGGACGCTGCCCCTCTCGGGGTCCTTTCCGTGGGGGTCTCCCCTGGGCGCTCTTTCCACCTCCGACACCCCTCCCCTGGCTTTCATCCATCCCTCCCAGCCCCCAGGCCGTTCTAGCCCGGCCCGCTCCCACCCCTCCAGTTCCCCCCCCGTCGCTGTCCCCACCCCCAGGACTCCAGGATTCAGCCGCACCCCTCCCGGGCCCCTCACCCTGGGGGGCGCCCCCGGGCTCGGCCACCCGCCCGCCGCCAGGTCTCCGGGGCTTGGATCCCTTAGGGCCCGGGGACTCGGGAGCCTCCGTCCTCTTCTTCAACTTGTGCCCCTTGGCGGGTCGCTGCGGAGTGGGGGTCAAGAGGAGGGAGAGGAAGGGAAGGGGGGCTCGGAGGGCTGCCCATGACCCTCTAATCCCTTGAGCCGCCAGAAATAACCGCGGATTATCGGGAGGGGAACAGCAGCCTTCTTCTTGGGGTGGGAACGGTGACCCCTCCCATGCATCATGGCCACGTCCAAGGCCCCAAAGTCCCAATTCCTCCCGCGGACATCCCGTGCCCCGAAACACCCTTTTCCTCAAAAGAAAAAAAAAAAAAAAGCAAAACTACAAGGAAGCAACCCCCCAGACGCTGCTGAGGGGGACGCGTCCTACTCCCAGATCCCCTTCCCTGCGTGGGTTTACACGCAATGGGGGGTTCTCCCTGCCTCTTTCCAAGCAGGGGTGACATACCTGCTTGGGGCGCTGCTGGACCTCGGGGCTCTGGCCTTCCTCTTCATGTCCGCTGAGGGTAGCAGAGCAATCAGTCTGTCTTCCTCCCCTTTTCTGCCCCTCCCCAACCCCTCCACCTGGGGCCCCCCAGGGTTCAGGTAGGTTGAGGTGAGGTGGTGGGGGGGGCGCTTCCGGACCTGTCCGAGGCCCACACCTCTCGGAGGGTGTCGTCCTGCAGCGGCATGGTGCATTCGCCTATCCGCACTCCCTTCTCTGGCCACCCTGCAGCTCTAGGAGTCTCCCTGCCCTCCCCGGCTAATCCAGGCTCAACTTCACCCCACCTCCCGCTGGCTCAAGAGGGTGGCAGCACTGTGGGAGGTGCTCCTCTCCTGCCCACGACACCCCCCCACCAGGTCCAGCCCACTGAGGGATGAGGCTGACTCCCCAGTTCTCAGACCACCAGCAGCCTGAAGGACCCATCGCCGTGCCAGCCCCACCCTCCCCCACCCAGCTTCCGGTCCGAGGTGCCAATTTGTAATTTGTCAGGGGTCAGTGGGGTGTGGGAAGAAAATATTAGATCAGATCCTGTATTTATCTTTATTTTTCATAAAATATAAGAACTAGGGTCGACTGATATTTAGTATATATGGATTGACAGAAGCATGTGTATTATACAGTGCTTTATTAAGGAACATGCCTAATTATGGGTGTACACTTAAAATTCTTTTTTTTTTTTTTTTTACTGATAGGGAACATGCTTTTTTAAAAGTTTGGAGACCAAGGATATAGTTTTGTTTTGTTTAAATTAAATCCCTTAAATGCCCAAGGTGGGGCTCAAGTTCATGACCCCACTCATGACCCACTCATGACCCAGAGATCAAGAGTCATGGGCTCCACCGACTGAGCCAGCCGGATGCCCCCCCAAGGATATAGTGTTGATGTGATTAATATTTGGTTAAATGCTGAGGAAGCCCAGAGGAGGGGTCTCACTCAGCTGTCCTGGAGGCTTCCTGAAAAGCCTGATCTAAAATTTAAAAGATGATGAACAGGAGTTCCACAGGCAAAAATAAAAGTGGGATGCGATACCTAGAAAGGGAACAAGCTACAGGCCTAGAAGTTGGAAATAGCCAGGTGTGTTCAAAGGTTTAGCGCTAGGAGGCAGGCAGTCATCTTACCCATGGGTCAGCCCTGAGCCCACGACCTGAGCTCTGTCACTTAAGGGCTCAACACCCTTGGGTGACTTACTTAGCCCCTCTGAGCCTCCGTTTCTTCATTTATAAAATGGGCTCAACCCAGTAAGGATATTGTTCAGATTCATTGAGATGAGAGGCCCCTGGGTGGCTCAGTCGGTTAAGCATCCGACTCTTGGTTTCGGCTCGGGTCGTGATCTCAGGGTCGTGAGTTCGAGCCCTGCATCCTGGCAGATTCAGTGAGATGACAGGTGGAAAAGAGCATGCAGTGGGGAGGGGGGGGCGTGCCTGGGTGGCTCAGTAGTTAAGCGGCTGCCTTCGGCTCAGGTCAGAATCCCAGGTTCCGGGGATGGAGCCCCGCTCCGTGGGAAGCCTGCTTCTCTCTCCCTCCCTCTCCCTCTGCTTGTGTTCCCTCCCTCGCCGTCTCTCTCTGTCAAATAAATAAATAAAATCTTAAAAAAAAAAGCATGCAGTGCGCACTCAGTAATTGGTAATTATGTGTCCCTTTTCACCGAACTCCCACTTCATCCCTGTCTCCTCAGCATTTACAACACCACTTGATCCCTGAGGGGGGTTCATTTTTTCAATGAGTTAATGAGCACATCTTTAATTTCACTCAATCCTCACAAGAGTCCAGTGAGATAGGCAGGGTAGAGATGACTATCTCCATTTTGTAGACAGACAAAATGAGGCTTGGGGAGGTGACGTGAGCGCTTGGGGAGTGCTCAGGGCCAGCCAGATCGTCAGGTTGCTTGGCCGGGGTGTGAATCCAGATCTGACTCCTGTCAGAGCTTTACCCCCTAACCCTTGCATGTTTTATGCAGTCACAAGGATTAGAGATGGAGTATGAATGGAACTGTCAGGCTTTTTGTTTTTCACTTGCTTGGTCCACCTGATCCAGATTTGCCCTAATCAGTCTTTCTAAAATACCACTTCTTCAGTTGACACCTTTGCTCAAAAACATTCATTGGCTTCCTATTGCCTAAGGATCAAATTGAAATGTGCTGGGTTGGCATTCAAGGCTCTCCCTGGTCTGGCCCCAGTCTGCCTTTCTAACTGCAGGGCTATCCCCAGCCCTACTACTCATCCAGCCACATAGGCTTGCGTACAGCCTTTACATTCTCTCTCCTCCATGCCTTTGCTTAAGCCTATTCCACGAAACCTGTCCCACTCTAAATAGCTCTCAAGTCCCCATCTCCACAATTCCTCGGTCCGCATTGGCCTCTGAATGCATAGTAATAATAATAATAATAATAATAATAGCATTTATTGACCACCTACTGTATGTCAGTCTCCTTGCTCCCCTTCTCTCTCCACCGTCACAATAACGTTTATGAGGCAGACATTAGCACACTGATATCAAAGGTGGGGAAGCTCACGGCTGAGAGTTGGTCAATATTTCCAGAGCACCGACTTTGTGCCAGACAGTATACTAAGCCCTGGTCATACAGTGTGACTCTTGATCTTGGGGTCATGCGTTGGAGCCCCATGTTGGGGGTAGAGTTTACTTAATAAAAAAATACTAAAATAAGTTGAGACCTGAAGGCTTTCAGAGACTAGGAATGAGAAACTTCCAGGCATAAGGCACAGCTTATGCAAAAATTTCCAGGCAGCAAATCACTTTGCACAATAGAGCAGGGGCGCCCCTCGACCGGGCCCCAAGACCAGTCCTTTAGAGGGTTCCTGAGGATCTCAAACCCCAGGCAAATACATGACTGAGAACAGGAGGGCACCTGGGGCTCAGGGTTGATCTGAGCAGGCAAACTGGAAACTGAAATATCCGCATTCTAACGGGGGTGGGGGGTTGGGGGGGTGGCTCAGGGAATGCCTCACATCTTGCCCCCTGTTCTCCAAACCAGAGGTGTCTGCACTGGACCGAACATGGGCTGGGTGACGGGCCAGGTCAGAGGACACGACTTCGGAGTGTGGGCCCATGTGAACAGCAGAAGCTCTCAAGTGAAAGAAAAGATCAATTCATTTCTCAGACCTCTCCTCTCAGGTTGCATGGATGTGATAGATACTTGCATAATAAAGTGTCCATTTTAGGGACGCCTGGGTGGCTCAGTGGGTTGAGTGTCCGCCTTTGGCTCAGGTCATGATCCCTGGGTCCTGAGATCGAGTCCCACATCGGGCTCCTTGCTCCGCGGGAAGCCTGCTTCTCCCTCTCCCACTCCCCCTGCTTGTGTTCCCTCTCTCGCTGTGTCTCTCTCTGTCAAATAAATAAATAAAATCTTTAAAAATAAAATAAAAAAAGATTTCTCTTTTTAAGTTAATTTTATTTAAAACAATTTTTTTATTCATTTATTTTAGAGAGAGAGAGAGAGAGCAAACAGAGGGAGGGGCAAAGGGAGGGAGGGACAGAATCTCAAGCAGACTCCATGCTGAGTGGGGAGCCTGACACGGGGCTTTGATCTCATGACCCTGCGATCATGACCTGATCTGAAATCCAGAGTCTGGCGCTTAACCAACTGAGCTACCTAGGTGCCCCTAAAAAGGTGGGTTTTTTTTTTGTTTGTTTGTTTGTTTTACTTTTTTTATAGTTACTTTTTTTATAGTTACTTTTTAGGAGAATGTATTCATATTTTGTATGCTTTGAATGCAATTATATATTTTTTAAAGATTTTATTTATTTGACAGAGAGAGAGCACAAGCAGGCGGAGTGGCAGAGGGAGAAGCAGGCTCCCCACCGAATAGAGAGCCGGACATGGGGCTCTATCCCAGGACCCTGAGATCACAACCTGAGCCAAAGGCAGATACTTAACTGACTGAGCCACCCAGGCGCCTGTAATTATATTTTTTAAAATCCTTTGAGAATTAATGCAGGTCCAGATCATGAGAGGAACAGAAAGTAGCAAAGTGGAACTCAGAAAAGAATGAATGGAAACTTCTGGGTCTCAGTGATGCTAGATTTGGTGAGCACGTGTGGGGAATTTAGAGACAGTATAAATAAACGGTCAGATTTGGGTCAGGCCTGGGATTTAGGATTGAGCATCAAGATTTTGGTTAAAATGAGGGTTGGGGGGCGCCTGGGTGGTTCAGTTGGTTGGGTATTTGCCTTTGGCTCAGGTCATGGTCCCAGAACCCTGGGATCCAGCCCCAGGTCGGGCTCCAGTGGAGAGCCTGCTTTTCCCTCTCCCTCTACCCCTCCCCCTGCTTGTGCCCTCTCTCTCTCTTTCTCTCTCTCTCTCTGTCAAATCAATCAACCAATCAATGAAATCTTAAAAAAAAATAAAATGAGGGTCAGTTTAGGAATAAGAATCCGATCGGGAATACAGATAACTTCTAATACCTTCTGATCTAACACCATTGCAACAGGCCTTTCTCCAAAGAAAAACAGGCTCGAGGCTCCATAATTACACCTTGTTTTGGTCTAAAAATGACAGTTCTTAGCTTGATCACTGGCATTAGTCACCAGATCCAATTCCACCTGGCATTAGTCACCAGATCCAATTCCACATGAATTTTAGCTGTTGTCTAAAATTAAATCTACTTTTTTTTTTCTTTTAAGATTTTTTTTATTTATTCATTCGAGACACAGAGATACAGAGAGAGAGAGAGCAGGGGGAGAAGCAGAGGAAGGGGAAGAAGCAGGCCCCCCACTGAGCAGGGAGCCTGATGCGGGGCTCGATCCCAGGACCCTGGGATCATGACCTGAGCCGAAGGCAGACGCTTAACCATCTGAGCCACCCAGGCGCCCCTAAATGTACTTTTTGTTTTGTTTTTTTAAAGTAAGCTCCCACACCCAGCGTGGAGCCCAACACGGGCTTGAACTCACGACCCTGCGATTAAGACCTGAGCTGAGATCAAGAGTCGGGTGCTTAACCGACTGAGCCACCCAGGCGCCCCTAAAATTAAATCTACTTTAGAAGACAGGGATTCGCCATCACCACCAGCTGGGATGCTGATAAATAGTGACTGCTACCATGCGCCAGGCACAGTTCATCCTCACAGTCTGCTTGCCTGTCTACAGCTCAGAGAAGTTAAGTGACTTGCCCAAGTAACTTGGAGCCATACCGTTGACCAAGCGCCCACTCTGTGCCCGAAATTTACTTGT